CTAGCTCAAAGACCCTCCATAATACCATGTTTTACTCAGAAATATGGCACAGTACAGAAGAATAATGCATGATGATTTCTTATGTTCATTTTAAACCACTTTTGGATCAGAAGAATTTCAACATGTCCTTTCAACAACAAGGAAGACACTTTGAGGAACATGAAGCTGCGTGTTACGAAATATAGCCAAGGATGAACTACTGACTGGGCCAATGGGGCGTATGACTACCAGGGGCCCCATGGGGCTTCAGGCCCAAGGTGGCTAAAATACTTGGGATGGTCCAACACAAATACTACTAGATGAATGAATGTCCATTAAATATGCACAAATGACAAATGAAATGTTATCTGTTCTCAGGCCCCTCTAGTTTTATTTTATTGTCCATATTTTGTTGTTGCCATTCATACAGGATGTTTTGGATTATGTTTCATGGAATTTGTGTACGTGTAGAACCACTCATGTTTTTGCATTACAACTTAGCTTGGCTTAAAGAAAACATAAAAGAGGCTAATTTTGTTTATTTAAAAATGAAATTGCTTAAAGCGACATAAACACAAAATGTGAACTATTGTTAAATCTCATTAAATCTTATTGGTTTATATGTATTTATTTATTATGTGTTTTGTTAGAGTTCCAAGGTCTCCAAAGAGGCTTGAAGGACCTCACAAGACCATAATCTAATAGTCTCAAATATCCCCAATGTATTACGCTGCTGTTGGAACAAATCTCAAAAGTGGCAACTTTACAGGAGAAGGAAAAAGCATTCTTTACTTTTAATGTAAGTCAATGGAACCAGACTTTTTTTGTCCTAGTAATTTTGGGCCTTTTCTTTTGGTCCATTGATCATGAAATTCACACACAACATAAAAGGCAACAGGTTTTTTCAAATTATGTCAAAAACTGAAAAATGATAAAAATGGAGATACAAGGTTTTGTTCCGACAACAGTGATTACCAAATAGCTGTTATTAAATAAAGTTTATTTTTAGCCCAAAAATTCAGCACACTTGCTATGTGTCTTCAATCATTACTGAAATTTCTAACCTCACAAACTGCTAATTCACTGCATAAGTAGTGCCTGACTACAAATGCTTAGCAAAACATAAGAACTACAGTGTTTTCCTCCCTCTTGGTACACAGACTTCTCTGATGAACAACCCATAAGCCTTCATTTTAAACATTATTAGAAAGCGTCCTGTTACTCCAGTCTTTCAGTAATAAACAATATCATTGCAGAGCTGCAAAGCTACAAATAGCATTGATTCCTTAGGAACGGAATACAGACAGCTAATCGATCAATGTGTGTGTCTTCTGTGCGGGCTGTGAGTGCAGATCAATGGCGGAGAGGCGTCATTGACAGGCAGAGTAAACCTGCTCCCAGCCACATTTAGTGACCCGCTTACCGTGAAACATGTAAAAGAAGCGAGCTGGGCTCGATTCCGTTTGCTTTGGCAGATACACTTCCTATTACAAGTTAGAGGATAAAATATTTTCATCTAAATTAGCATGTTTTCCTTGTAGGTGTGCAATCTTAATCCTAACATATTAAAGACTAAGCAGGATCATTTTGAGGAAAACAATGTCACACATGTAAAGTATGTGTGACTATGTTTGTGACCGTCTTTTCTTGGGAATAACGCCAAGTCTATCCTCTTGTGATGTCAACACTCATTAGCATTCGATCCTATCAGGTGTTTTAACCACCTTTCGCTCTTAAAAGGGTACCAGAAAAGGGTCCCGTTGTCCAACAAATCAAAATTTGAAATTCTTTTTGGAAATCATGGACGTTGCATCCTCCAGGCTAAAGAGGGACCATCCAGCTTGTTATCAGTGCATAGTTCAAAAGCCTGCATCCGTGATGGTTTGGGGGTGCATTAGTGTACATGGCATGGGTGACTTGCACATCTGTGAAGGCACCACTAATGCTGAACATATATACAGGTTTTGGAGCAACATGCTGCCATCTAGACCACGTCTTTTTCAAGGAAGGCCTTGATTATTTCAGCAAGACAATGTCAGACCACATTCTGCATGTATTACAACAGCGTGGCCCCTTAGTAAAAGAGTCTGGGTGCTAAACTGGCCTGCCTGTAGTCCAGACCTTTCACCTATTGAAAACATCTGGTGCATTATGAAACAAATACAAGAAAGGAGACCCCGAACTGTTGAGCTGCTGGAAACCTATGTTGAGCAAGAATGGGTAAACATTATACTTTCAAAACTACAGCAATTGGTCTCCTCAGTTCCCAAATGCTTACAGAGTGTTGTTAAAAGAAGAGGTGATGAAACACCGTGGTAAACATGCCCCCGTCCCAACTTTTTTTTAAATGTGTTGCTGGCATCAAATTCAAAATGGACATATATTTTCAAAAAACAATAAAATTTCTCAGTTTCAACATTTGATATGTTGTTTTCAATTAACTATAGAGTTTAAATGATTTGCACACCATTGCATTCTGTTTTTATGTACATTTTACACAGCGTCCCAACTTTTTTTGAAACTGGGCTGTAGCTTGCAGCGTCCGAATAAGGCAACTAAACTAACAAGCACAGTGTAGCTCTTTTGTTTTGTAATTGCTGTTCAGCAGGTGGTCTGGCCATTCTCTTCACAAGCCAACCTTGGTCTTTGCCCTGTCCCCCTCTACCCATTGCTGCCCCTCCTCTGACCCAAACTCAACTAAATGATTTATTGATCCAGGGCAACCTCCATATAACCTGTAAATTACTTCAGCACTATGGCATTATCCAGCAGTGATGAGCAGCGCCCAAAAAAGCCTGAAGATGCCGCTCACAGGAGACTTAATTCAATGCTGGACCAAAGGCTGATTCCAACTTTGATCAAGCTTAACCTGCTTTGCAATAATTACTATTCCAGTCAGGGGCTGGGGAAGGTTGGAGGTTCAATGAATCCAGAGACCCATGACCGAGCGCCGGCTCTAAGCCTTGTCTGAAGTTAGCGGAGAGTTGCAGGTTAATCCTTGAGTGAACAAAATGACGGGCTGTGAGTAGCCCTTCAGTCTGGCCGGTCTTGCAAGAACAACTTTTAGTCTAGCAGTTCTAATACTTCTACACCTGCAAGGTTCAATCCTTACAAAAATACAGATTTAATTTTTGGGGAAATCAGCAAACAGATTGTTGTTTTTTTACAGTTTGCATATTGTTTTACATGTGTAAAGGCATGTTTATGTTAAAACGACATAGTACATAATGCTTAAAATATTTTTTACACTGAAATAAATAACAAAACGCTACTCCGAGGCATCATAAGTGGCAGAAAAGCCAAAACACTGAACAATCACTACTGTTTGAAACTTTTGATGCAAACTAATGGCCAGTATTTTTTGTAGTTATGATTTATGTGTGGTACTAGCAGTTTATTCTGCAGATTAATATCTGTATCAATTACCTCAAATGTAGTGGAGCAGTCAAGGCAAGACATATTTGATGTCCAGTTGCTTCTTTAGTATGAAAACAAACCTGCAATAATTTTGTTAACATAAAGCAGCTACAGTATTCCATTGCTCTTGTGCAAAAACCTTGTATCTCCATTGTTTGGTCAGTATTATGGTAGTTACTCAACAACATAATCCATTACAAATGACTAATTACCTCTCTCTTATTGTAATGGGATTACTTTACTTATTACTTCTTACAAAAAGTAGTCTTATTACTTACTACTTTCCTTCTTTGTTACGCTCTAAAACTCATTCAAATCTGCACCAACTGGCAAATACATGGAAAGCCCAGTAGCACTGTTCAGTGCTTTATTCAGAAAGATTTTCATTTTTTGAAAGTCTGGCCTGTGTAGGTGCAGTAGGGTCAACATGGGAATATTTATCCATCAGTTTTATATTAGCATGATTACATTAATTGCTTTCAGAGTTTACAGTGCTTCCTGCAATCAAACTGCACTGCTCTTATTCACAATCCAAGTCATGCAGCCAGATAAAAGGACAGACATGGAAAATCTATATAGAGGAAATTTATGTTTTAAACGCATCATGTGTAATTAATATTATTTTGTTAAAGACATATGAATAACACAAGTATCATGCTTCTCATTAAGACATTATTAATTATTAAGTAACTGTAATGCTACAAAAATGATACTTTAATGTGATGCACTACTTCATTACCGACGAAATTACATTACTGTACCATGTTTTGTACCACATTTTCCCCAATACTGATAATGACTGACAGTTTTTTCTTCAAATTACCGTTTTCTCTCCCGTTTTGAGAAAATTGCTATATATAGTTATAAAGTTATATTAGTGACACCCTGCAATGCAGCTACTGCCCAAAGTTTGAAGGCGTAATAGAACAGGAAGTTACACTGCATCTGAGTAATGGCAGAAGCTGGAAAATACCAACTCTCTTACTTGCACTTGAACAGGTGATATGAAGCCATATATTATGACGTTTCACCTTTTTTGCTGGTGAAAAATTGGTGGCGAATGTGAAAAATTATGCATGATGCTCTTCTATGTGATCTATGGCTGTCTTTACAAATGAATGCACTTCTAATTGTGGTGTACTTTACTATTCAGTATGTTAGAATGCAATTTTGTCATTTTTTTTTATATAAAGGATTCTCTGGACCTTTGTTTTCCTTTTCTGTGTGGTGGAATTATCTATCAACAAGCAACCAAATGGAGTTTAGTAGGATTTACTTGTTCACGATCTACAATCCATAAGCTTTCAATGAGCACACAACAATAGTTCAAATAAATATACAGTTCTAATTTGATTAGCATAGTTAATTATTCAATATTGATGTACTCTGCTGTTTTATGAAACTAGATGAATGGTACTGTTGAGCCAAATTATATCTTTTAAGGCAACTGTGTGATGATTTAGTCATGTAGACTTGGATACCAAGAGGAAAACTATGTAACATTCCCAACAATCCTGTTCTATACAGGCTTCCAAAAAAGATAGTTTAAATCTTTTTAAACTCCTTCACCCTTTACTTAATAATTGTGAACACAGACAAACACATTCCATGCAATCAATCGATAACAGTGTCTTTTATTATGCACCAAACTGGAACAAAGTTAAAATTAGCTTTTAATAGAACAGAAGGCCAGTGCTTGTGAAACCAAACAGCACCAAACAAAAGAACAATCCTGCCGGAAACAAGAGTTCAAACCATTAACACGTTAAATCAAAGCAGCGTGACTGCTGTGAACACATCAGTCTATCAAACTGAATAACATGAAGCGATCAGGACTTCAGTTAAGTGGAACAACAAAGATGATGGCTCGAATTTCAATAGCACCTCATTTGTGGATGAGGTCAAAACTGTTAATAGCTTAAAAAAAGAGCTTATTGTTCTGTATCAGTGCAGTGAAATTACATATTGTGAGAGGAGTAGCACGGGATTAACAGAGAAGGTGAAAGTGTAAAGGGCAGAACTTGCTCATGCCATCATAATGCAGCGGAGAGACAAGAGTACAGAAAAGGTGCACACTGCCCCCTAGTGGAGATAAACTCTACAGGCAAAGCACATCTGCATCTGCAAACTAGACACCAAAACCACTATTTAACTGTGTAAAGTCCAACTCATCCTAAAATTGTCTTGATGTCAACAGTGTGCTTCATCATTAGAGAACTAGTCGTTAATATGCAATCAATAGAGTAGCCCACAGAGCTACAACAGATTAAATGTCTGAATATTTCTGTAGTTTTATTTGTGCTGTATTATGCAACATGCACTAGAAAAGCTGATAAACGTTTAACTGAAATAATTTCAAAGCATTTCCATTTTGCAGCAGCCCTGTTGTTGCTGCATCATTCTAAAGCCAAAAGTGTGCAGGCGGAATAAAAGATCAGGACAAGCATAGATTTATACAGTGCCTTATCCAATTTGGCACCACTTTTCAAACACATTACACAACAGTTAAAACCATTTCAGTCAACACGCTTCAGAGCTGATAATCAAGTTGACGTTATTTCGCATAAAAAAAGAAATGGAAGTGAATAAAGAGAATAGGGCTGAAATTAGCAATGCACTCGTAGAAGCAGCTTTAACTGTGGTCTCTTTGTTCAAATGAATCCCTTGTTCATGCCATTTCACCCAGCGGAGAGAACGACGGAAAAAGACAGAAGGAAAGGGAAAAAAGTCAGTCTGTGGGAGGCTGACACTGTTTTTGCTCTGGTAACTTTCCTCAACATCAGCATTCTACTACTATATCTACCAACGTTCCACCAGTTAAATAGGGGCGCAATGTCATGTCACTGTTAACAAGATAAGCACCTTACACACACTGCAAACAGGCTGTTTGGTTGGAGCTTCACAGACTTGCTTTGCAAAGCAGAAATGTCTATTTCTAGCCCTGCATTTCCAGCATAGCCTGTATTTACCCACAGTATATCTAAAACACTGGCAGACCTGTCTTATGCATGTAATAAATATGAAGGCAAAGTCACTTAGAAGCAAGACTGAACTTTTAGTGCAAGTAAAATGTACTTTTCCTAAACTTTAAACACAGCTGTACTGTACTGAAATGACATGATCTAAGGCTGGTTTGAAATGCAGTAATTGTTTGACTAATGCTGTAAGTTACAACTACAATGTACCATATGTGTCAAACATCTGCAAGCGATGAGAAAGACAACTGTTACAACTGAGATACACTGAGCCAAAGCTAACCCTGCTCATGGCATTTATGTCTTCTTTTAACTTGGGCCAGAAATGATTAGTAAATATAACTTCAGAACTTTAGAATACAGAACTTCCAGCAGTTCATCACTGTATGTTCCAGTCATTTCATAAGTGTTACAGTTTTTTTTTATATCCATGCAGATATCTAACTCCACCCATCAGGTTCGCTTTTTAATATCTCGGCTCATTAATATAGAATTCAGTTGTTCTGTGAGCTCAAAAGTGTGCATATATCGAGTTTATTACTGCTTTGAACATGGCTCAGCCAATCAGATTTCAGAACCGGAACAAGCCATTTAATGACTGATATTTTAATGGATCACATCCTTGATTTTAGGCTTGTCAGTTAATGGTTAATGGATAACGGTTGGATATTCATTATACAAATTTTTTTTTAAAAACTGCCAGAATTCATATTCCCGTTTTGCACTGAAGCCACAATTAAAGAAACACTCTGCGATTTTAGGAAAACTAAGTGGTGAACCAGACACTTAGAGCTTGTTTGCACCTTGCATTAACACGTTTTTCATGTCCAGATCATTTCTGGATACAGTTTGGCCAGATTCCTTTTACACTTTTCAAGCAAGTTTTCTTTTCAAGGGTAAAAAATTAGTACTGTACAGGTACATTTATTTTCATTAATGTACAAATAAAGTCCAACATTGGTATTATGGTCGAACTGTGTACCTAAAATACCCTTTTCTACAGGGAAAAGCATATTTGCACTTTTCATTACATAATATTTTAAAACAGAACAATAAAATAAAAAGCCTTAACTCAAGACTGGTACAATTATGGTACAATTATGCTTCCTAACTTAAGGTACTGAAGACGTACCCTTTAGAGTACCAACCCAATGTTTAATGCATTTGTACATATATTTGTATACTGTCAAATATTGTAAGAAAACATTTAAAATGGGCAACGAATTGTTTCCATTAGTGGAGGAGAAGGCTTTGTCTTCCAGCTGTTGTCATTAATTACTTATGCAACTGTACCAGATATAGAAATCACATTCAATTTACACTTGTATTGAAAGTGGTCAACAACCACCTCTGACCACCTGTGAATGTGGTTTGAGAGATCCAATCGTAATCCAATCACAACCCATCCTGGGTGTGGTTACACATGGATTTTCATGTGCTCAACTGAAATCTGAACATGATCAAATTACTAAAAAACACATATTGATGCAAGGTGCAAACAGCCTCTTAGACAGCATTCGATGGAGTAATGTTGCCGTATTGCAAGTAGGCTGAGCTCTACTACCAACATCCAACAACATGAAACATTTTCTATTCTACTTTCGTTAATTACACTACAACTGGATTCCTCACATAGTGACCCATGATGCGCAACAGTGAAGCAGATGTGTCCAAAGCAGAGCGTGACTCTAAAGCAGAGTTTCGCAGCAGTGTGGGAAGAGCTAAAAATAAGCTGGGAGGTTGCAGATTAGCAAAAGGCCTGGCAGTGGGCTGACTGCTGGAAGAGTATACAGCAAGAACAACAAGGAGAAAAAAGGACATGAAGTGCTGCGCAGCAAAAACATAATCTGACTGAAGATCAACTGATCAAGCAGTGAAAGCGGTCATCACTGCAAAACCCAAACAAAGCCATGGAACCATGCCATACAAAAACAAACAAATTAAAAACACAAGCATACAATGACAATTCTCATGTACAACATGAATATGAAATCACAAAAATATCTGACTAATGACAAATGAGGCTGGATGGTGTTACATTTTTGGCATCTGATGATACCCTTATGGCAAAAAGCAATGACAGAACAAACTTCATGAGCAATGGACGTTTTCAAGCAGCAACATGTAAGTCAGTTCCTCTGGCTCAATGTGAGTGCTGATTGGACTGAAAAGGCAGCTTGTATACACTCTACAACACAAATGCAGGCTTAATAATAAAAGAGTAATAATACAGGAGACAATTATTGCTCAAAGCCATGGTGCTATATAGTACCTACAGTACTGTGCTAAAGTCAGAGACCATGCTTTATTTATTTCATTTCCAGTCAAAATGGCCATTAAATACAAGTTATTCACTCTGAGATCACACAGAAGCCTCAACAGCTAAATTTTTGTGTATTTAGTATTTACTCTTTGCCTTTATAAAGCCTTCCATTTTTAGTAAGTCTTCCATTCAGTTTTTGAAATAAAAGTGCAAGGATACTTTTTGACACCTCTAAAGTTCTTTGCATCTGAGAACACCAGCAGCTTCTGTTTGATCTGTAAATTTTCTTCTGTTTTTGCCTATTTCCTTTCCTTAGCAACGGATTCTTGACAGCTGCACATCTTTTTTTAGGCCCATAGTAGTGAGCTGTTTTCCCATGATGGAAAGATGGCAAGGTTTAAATACTGTTCATCTTATGGTTTTGATGGTCTACCAGGTCTTACCCGGTTGTCAAGAGTCCCATTTTCTCTGTCTTTTAAGAATTTTTTGAACTCCAGTTGGAAACTCCTGTTTTTCCCTTATGTACCTTTGACTTTATGCTTCCTTATGAAAGTGTATTATCTTACATAATCTCAGAAACATCTCCTGAGAAATGAATATTTGTACGTAATGGCCATTTTGACTGGAAATTACAAATAGTAAAAAGTACTTTTGCCCAGTACTGTATACAGAATAAACTTTCATTCATTCATTATAGGAACGACTATCCAAATCCATTCTAAGCAAACAGAGTGTGGCTTTAGTGTAATAACACTAACATTTTTGTCCCTTTTTCAAAAAGCAGAGGTGCTAGGTGTGTGCTGATAGAAATGCTAAATATTATAAATGCTTACTAAATCGACATAGCCCTTCAGACATGCATATTGGTGCATTAGTACTGGTTCTATATTAGAATTTTGGGCAGATACAATAATGCATTAATTAGCTTATTCTCCCCATAAGTATACATGCTTTTGACTTTGTAATACCACTGTATTACTGATACTATCAATTAAGGTTATGTGCAAAGAGGTCATACTGTTTATTTTCACAGTAAATCAACTGTCAATGTTTTGACTCAGATTTAACACATAAAAAATCAGAATTCATACTGATGACTGTAGTAACATACAAGTAATATTCATTTTTGACGTTGACCCAAAATTGTCTTAAATGTGCAGCCCAAGTTTACCCTGCAATGTGCGTGTTAGCTAGGCTTTGTTTAATTTGGAAGCTCCCAAATATGGCATCTGGTATGTACATTCAGAAATGTAAGGCACATGGTTAGGTCTGCGCATGAGTTATTTGCACATTTACTGCCGTAACAGGAAACAAATAAGGCAAAAGAGAACACAATAGGCTTTCATTTGCATTATTTGTTCTTAGCTTAAATATAACACAAAAGAAATTAGATGCTTGCTTCTGTACTCCAAAATTCATGCAGATATCTTTACACCCAACAACTCAGCCATATGTGATGCTGCAAAGCATGTAATGCTTATTCCCTGAAAAAAGTTAGCAACAAAAAAGGTTTGTCTGTCCACAAAATGGCATCACTGAATCCAAAGAAAATATGCAATCTCATCAAGATCCACAGGATAATCAGTGAGATGCATAGGCTCTTTATTTTCATAGCGCTCTCCCTTATAGCTCCTCCAGTGACCCGCTGGCAGGTAGATATCCCTCTCTTGCTTGCCTGGTTCCAGCACTGGTGCCACCATCAGGTCATCTCCTATTAGGAACTGCGAGTCTACTCTATAGGCAGTCTCGTCGCCGGTGGCTATCCACCATAAAGGACGGATTATGGGGTCACCGGTATTTAGCACCTCCCCTGCTAGCTCCAAAACTCTGGGGGCCACCAGGGTCTCATGGAGGGCGGTGAAGCGCTGGGCGATGGCCACCACCTCAGCGTCATATTCCCATGGTGGAATGGAGAACTGCATGGACGGCATGAAAGCAGACAGCTCCAGCCAGCGGATGTAGAGCTCACGGTCTGGAAGCTTGCCGTTCCCATATGTGCGGTTGGGATATGCGTTACCTCCAATCATATCTGGCAGGATGAATTGGTAGCCCAAGATGCTAATGGTGAGAACGGTAGGGATGATGGACTTGAGGCCGAGCTCATAACCCCAAACAGAGTCACGGTCAATGAGACGGAAGAAACAGGAGATGTTCTGGGAGCCGTAGCCTGAGCGAAGCTCCGCACGCTCGTTAAAAGGAATGGCCATTTCAGTGTAGCGGCGGGTGAAAGTGCTGGGGTCCGGAAGATGAGCACGCGTTCTGAACTGCCAGGGGAGGTAGTTGGTCTCTCCGGCATCCAGCTTGAAGGAGGATATGCCATATTTGGAGCGGAGAGCTCGGAGATGTGAGGTGAACCAGTTCCGAGCTTCTGGGTTAGTAAAGTCTAAGATCCCACCAATGCCGTTCCACCAACGCACCAGGGCAGGGAAGTTGGCCAGTAGGCTCCATCACAAAAAGGCCCTTCTGGACACATAGCCCAAAGTTAGCCGAGTCATAGTTCACAAAAGGGTGCGTCCATAAACTCACCAGAAAGCCTTCTGCTTTCAGCTTCTGGAACATGCCAGAAACATTGGGAAATTTAACAGGGTCAAATTCAAACTCCCCATACCGACTGGTATAGCGGTCATCCAACTCTATGTGACTACAGTTAAAACCATATTTTCGGATGTTTGCCGCAAAACTTAAAAGTTTCTCCTGGTTGATGTCTGTTTTGTGTAAAGCCCAGGTGGACCATATAGGATAGCGGAAGACTGCTTCTAAGGGAACTTTGTTGGGCTTGGGAAAGTACCTGCGAACCATGACCTTGTGGATGGAGGTCACATCTGGTCCCACACACACACGGTAGCTAAGTTCAGCATACGGTGGCATCCCCGGCAGGGGCTTGTATGGGCTGTCCTGATATCGCGCCTGGAAGTACAAAGTCTTCTCTGTATCATTCCAGCCCAGGTGGAAAGGCACAGAGTCATTGATCTTGATGGCAGTCGCATTGGACGAGAGCCAGTAGCGCTCTAGAATGCCGCCAAAGTCGTGGCGGTTAGAATAAACATCGCTGGTGACAAAGGGCTTGGGTGCCTGCTGGCCTGAGATGGCAATAGGCCAGTGCTGCACAGCACTCTCAGCACCTCCGTACCAATGCGACTCGTTGTAGGCCATGGCGTGCTCTACGGGCCGGTCTGACTCCAGCTCCTCCCAGCGCACACGGTAACACATCACTGTCTCTTTAGGCTTCACCGTCATGATGAAGAATTTCACTCTCCCGGCGTAGGAGCGCGAGCAGCGCAGGATCACACCCTCTTTGGAACACGAGTCCAGATCAAGCGTTCCAGATCTGAAATTCATGATTAACATGATCACTTATTTTTCTTATGCCCTTTCTTAATCATTCATTTAAGACCTCCAGGTTTTCAATTTAAGTTACTAAAAGGTAGCTGTTATGCTAGGGATGCAAATCTCTGACCTCACAATTGAATTACATGAGGATTCTTTAGGACCCTTTTTAGTAAATCAGGAAATCTCACGTTGTACCATGGTCGAGTTATTTTAAACTGAATACATGAATGGGAACAAGGGAAACTAGATGACAGGGGTACATATTTTTAGGTTCAATACTATTTTCTTTTCCATGGTCTTAGATTTGTTTCAATTTGATATTCTATGTGTTTAAATTGTCTTAACACTACAGAGACCTAATATATACTACTACACGAGAGGTTTCCATTCACGTCTTTTATGAGAATTTTAAAAATGCACATAAAAACCTACAAAAACCAGAAATGTGAAAAACTCCCTAAATATTGCTGTAGTTGCTGTATGTTTGGAAAAGTGGAAACGTGGACTCGACGTGGATCGATAAAGGTGAATGGTGATGGAAACAGATTTTTCAAATAAGTGATAATCTATCGTCCCAGTCACCTGACGATAACAAACATAACGGCATTTGAAAATTATTGGCTGCATCTCAAACCACATATACCATAGAGAGCTAATAAAGCTTTAAATTCCTCCGTCCCCTGGAGCTGGATACTTGTGTTACTGTTTGCTGTTGTTATCCGGTGTCGACCAGAGGAGGATGGGCTCCCCTTTTGAGTCTTGGTTCCTCTCAAGGTTTCTTCCTTTTACTCTTAGAGAGTTTTCCTCGCCACTGTCACCATTGGCTTGCTCATGGGGGCTTGGACCCATCTGTAAAGCTGCTCTTTGACATAAAACGTGCTATATAAATAACTTTGACTTGACTTGACTTAACCCCTGTGAAGCTTCAGGAATCTTCTGGAATTTGTGCTCAAGAGTAGTTGATGGAAACACTGATTCATTTTCTTTTACCAACATTTTGGAAATATGCTTCAACATGTTTGAATGGAAACACTGCTATGAATTGAGAAAGAAATGTTCTCAAATAGAAATACCTGCTGCACCAGCCCTCTAACAAAATAAGCCCCAAAAATTACAACCCCTGGAATTTACTAGTGATTCTAGACAAAAAGCACACTCATTTGAGCGTATGCATAGTATAAGCCCCACCCCCACCCATCACACTTTACTCTGACAGGTTGCCTAGTTCTGATCACTGATAGTAACCTCCACTGATAGTGGCCACGAATTACACTGTACTGTACTGTACACAGTACAACAATGGTTTTTTTTGACTTCTTGTACTGAAATCGTTACACCATTGCTATTACTATTACTACATAGTACTAGAATATAGACAATAAAAACAACACAAAGCCTTTTAATTTTATTTTACATGTGAAAATAGATTAAGAATTTTATTTTGGCCAAAAAGGAATGCAACTTTTAGTGAATATTATTATAACTGATTATAATAATACAGTATATATTTATAATATATAGTATTTCAAAATTAAGATGACTAATTTGCCATCTATTGATGTGTTTTTCACAACCCTTGTATGTCAATTATATGTATTTTACTCTGTACTACTTAAAATACAGTAATTTATAAAGGTGTTCTGTTTAAATAAAATGTTCCAGTAGACACGATAAAATGCACAAATAATGCTTTAAAGTGAAAAATGTATGCATGTTGTATGATCACCAACCTGAAAGCCATCTTGAACACGATCCCCCCAGCCTGGTTGCGGATGAGGAAGCCATCCTTATTGAGGTCCAACAACTCTGTCTTCAAGAGATCAGCTTTGCGGAGTGAGGCAATGTAATAACACCATGCTGTCACTGCAGCTATAACCAGCACCAGCCCCAGAACTCCAGCACCTACTAGTGGACGGCTTTCCTTGTTTATTTTCTTAATAGGCACTCCATCCGTAATAGTGCCTCCTGCTCCTCCAGGTACTACTTGGTACATTGTGTTTCTGTCCCTTTCATTCACCTGTGAAATGTTCTATTGGAGACTAACAAGCAGGACTGACAGGCAAATGACTAAAGAGTGCACTGTGGACAATAACTAATGCAGTGCTTTCATTTACGACATTACATTGGCAATAGCTGAAGTGGTTAGGAATTGCTCAAGATGAGCAAAATGGAACCTTTTCACAACATGTTTTCCTTGCTCAGAGATCTGATTTGCCTCTGTCAACATCCTTTCCAAACCTGTGAAAGAAGAAAGACAGAAATAACACATTGAGTTTAATCAGAGATGTTTGACTTTTTCTGCTAAAAATTGCATTAGGAATGAATTAACTCCAATATATTTAACCTCTCATGCTCCAGGGTATATTTTGTTTTTTCTATCTGAATTTACATGACCAAATCGTAAGGCAAATTATTCAGTATTATTCACTGCATGAAATAAATGTAAATCTTTATTTTATTTATTTATTTTTGTTTTTTGGTAAAAGCTCCCCTCAAATTAACAGAACATGCGTTTTATGATCATACACCTAATGCTATATGCTTACAATTTACTGCTGAAAGCAAAAAATCTTAGACGCTCTTTGTATTATTTTATAAAAAAACAATTTTTACAGAGTATATCACTGAAGAGACTCCATCTGTTTATAGTTTATAGCCCAGAGTTCAGCTTCTTCTATTATAAGGGTTTAAAATTACATTACTCATCTATTTGACTGGAAAGAAGGCAGTTAAGCTCTCATACGACACCCACCTTTTGAATGTAGCTTAGGAAATATGAAAGTTGAACGTGAAAGCTTATGAAATATGACCAAGTGCATTTTGGAACCACCGGTGGTCCCAAGAAGTTGAAGAAGTTAATATGGTACAAAGTGGAGTAACACTGACTTTTTTTTAACTGTCTTAGCGAAAAACATTCAAATTTAATTCAACAAGCCAAAACAAGCCACTGCCTGGAGGGCAAGGAGAGGCACATGATGAACCTTCAGCATGAGGCCAAGCTGTTGAAATGTGCTAGTGTGAGAACCGTTCAAAACAAGGAACAAAGCCCGTAGGTAGGCAGTGAAAACCCTTCCACTAAACTTATCCTCCCTCGTGGATCTCGGCCTCTAACAGACAGCTTGTTCTACAAGACTTGGGCCACAAAACAAAGACAGGCCAGTTAATAAAATGGATGATGTTGATCACTCAGGCAATTACACACACACACACACAGAGACACTCTTCTTACATCTGAAATGACTGCATAGACGTCTGTGCTGCTTTTAATGACCAACCTGCAACCAAACAACCATGCTGGGTTAATATTTAAGAGATTAAAAACTTGATCAGGAATCTCCACCCCAGGAACTGGCTTTGAGTTAAACAGCACAGAGAGCTAAAACCACAGCTGGGTTAATATTCAAAAGATTAACCACGTCAGGAATTTCCACCGCAAGAACCATCTTGTGTGAAAGATGTAATTTGCAGTGGACGCCCTTGAATTTGTAGTCACCCTTAAAATAAGTGGTTCTTCAAGGGTTCTTTAGTAAAGGGAATGGTTCTATTTAGAACTATGTGTTCTATTTAGAAGCTTTTTGAAAATGGATCTATATAGCAGCAAAAAATTATGCTGCTATGGTTACAAGCTTGACATCATAACAACAGAAGATCGCTTTTTGGTGCTATATAGAACCATTTTCAAAAAGGTTCCATACAGATCCTGAAGAATCCAAAGAACCATTTCATACCATACAAATAATCATTTAAGCATGAAATGGTTCTATATAGAACTCCACCTCAAGAACCATCTTGTGTGAAAGCTGTAATTTGCAGTGGACGCCCTTCTATTTGTAGTCACCCTTAAAATAAGTGGTTCTTCAAGGGTTCTTTAGTAAAGAGAATGGTTCTATTTAGAGCCATGAGTTTGATATAGAATCTTTTTGAAAATGGGTCTATACAGCACCAAAAATAGTGCTTCCATGGTTACAAGCCTGACATTGTAACAACAGAAGATCAAAAAGGTTCTATACAGAACCTGAAGAATCTGAAAAAACATTTCATCATGCAAATAACCATTTAAGCATGAAATCGTTCTATAAAGAACTCATGGTTTTACATAGAACTATTCCATTTACTAAAAAATCCTTGAAGAACTATATTTTCTAGAGTGTAGAAAACAACTCAAAGGACCATCTGAACGAAAAAAATATTCTTTTCCTGTTTAAGGTCCCCAGAACCTTTTAGAAAACAAGTCTATATAACACCAAAAATGATGCTTCTATGGTTACAAGCTTGACATTGTAACAACAGAAGATCCCTTTTTGGTGCTATACAGAACCTAAAGAACAATTTCACCATGCAAATGACCATTTAAGCATGAAAATGGTTCTGTATAGATCTCATAGCTCTACATAGCACCATTCTTTACTAAAAATCCTTGAAGAACCATATTTTTAAGAGTGCAGAACTCAAAGAACCATCTGAATGCAAAATTTTCCTGTTTAAGGTCCTCAGAACCTTTTAGAAAATAGATCTATATAGCACCAAATTGTGCTTCTGTGGTTACAAACTTGACACGGTAACATTAGAAGATCCCTTACCATTTTCAAAAAGGTTCTATACAGAACCTGAAACATCTGAAGAGCCAATTCACCATGCAAATAACCATTCAAGCATTAAATGGTTCTATATAGAACTCATGCTTCTACACAAAACCACTGCTTTTACTAAAAAAAATCATTCAAGAACCATCTTGTTTCTTTTTTAACACAACTCAAAGAACCATCTGAATGCAAAAATGACTGTTTTCCTGTTTAAGGTCCTCAGAACCTTTTAGAAAACATCTATATAACCCCAAAAGTGTTGCTTCAATGGTTACAAGCTTCACATTGCAACAACAGAAGATCCCTTTTTGGTGCTATACAGAACCTGAAGAACCATTTCACCATGCAAATAACCATTTAAGCATGAAAATGGTTCTATATAGATCTCATAGTTCTACACAGCACCTGAAGAACCATCTTTTTTAAGAGTGCAGAACACAACTCAAAGAACCATCTGAATGCAAAGATGATTCTTTCCCTGTTCAAGGTCCTCAGAACATTTTAGAAAATGGTTCTGTATAGCACAAACAGGGGTCCTGCCATTGTTTCAAAACTCTTTCTAAAACTATAAGACCCCTTCTGGTAAGAGTATCAGTAAGTGCCTGATATAACCAGTGCTGTTTGTAACATAACTTGTTCAGATTAGTTTCACCCAAGTTTCCTCTAGAAAATCAATGTTATTATAGGTCCAGATCTGGGCAAATACAGGCAGCTGCATGCCTATATGCTGACTTAAGCACTAAACTAGACACCGCATTAGCACAAATGAGATATAATATAACGTATAAGCGCCAGAGTCACAAGTTTGTGGGGCTTTTCTTTGCCACGCAGGCTCGTTCTGCAGCAGCACAACACTGAGGTGTAACTTTAAGAGTCCTGAACCGTTCATATATTTGCTAACCCAAGTCCTCCGAGGAACGGTCAAGAACACCCTACAGACCTGTGTAGAGGAAGGGAGAGGACGGCAGTAAGGTTGTAAGCACGGTCAGTAAACCTATGTCGTTATTTCTCCCGACAAACAACGAGAAGCCTGACTCGTGTTTTGCTTTGTTGAGCTTGCTATTTATTCACAGCAGTCGTCGTGAGTGAGAGACCGTTACTCAAGAGAAGACAGAACAAAACAGCGCAGTGTCCGCGGCACAGCGGGTCATTAGCTAAGTTTAACCCGGGGTTTTCCGCATGAGACGTGGGAGACGAAGATAACTATCATTTTCAACCAAATATAGTTCATAAAAAATGTTAAGAGAGAGATTAACTTACCTAGCTACCCTCGCAAGCTCCTCTAACTTAGCGAGTTGAGTTCAAATGACGTCTGGCGATGTGGATGTTTTGGGTGTGGGAGGAGCCTAACAGATTTCCCTGTGTGACGCTGGGAAATGTAGTTGTTAGAGGGAGCCGCGTGGTGTATTCGATTCCGTTTACCGAATCGATTCCTACGAACCGCCAATTTCAATGAATCGAAAGCGTCGTTCAACGATTCATTGATTCGCGATTCATTGGATCAGTTTCCGTTTAAAACTAACGATCGAATGAGTTTGATATGTGTTTCTAAAGAATCAAATTCGTAATGTATAAAGACGTAACAGTAAAGAATTCAGAGTTGTAATTAAGGATTTTATATGATTTTATGAGGTGAATTATTATTATTCTAACCCTTTTTCACCATATTTCTGTAAACGCTACAGAAAAGTGTGACTCACTTGGATTTGATTCATTCACGAGTCAAACATCAGTATTCTTGTATTGCTTGTCCTCCCAAAAGACTATCCAAATACTTACGTAACACGTAACACATTGTAGAACAATTAAGAAAAACAGATAGAAGCACTTACTGAATACACAACATTTTCTCAAAGCAAGTTTTATTCAAACAAGCATGTATTTACAAATTAGATACACTCAGTTGTTTATTTCTGATGACGTGATAGCCTTTGTTAGTTGGTAGAAGATCATATGACAATGTAAATGAGGTCAACACTTCATCTAGGCCTAAGCAAAAGATGAAAAGATGATATATTGCACTCAGAGAGACGACATGCAGTGATGCAGTGAAAAGACTCCGAATCCAGAGCTGGGATTAGTGCAGCCACTCTGACATGAACTCAGGGTGGATGATGTAGTATCCAGCTTTGTAGGGTTTCACCACATGGAAACAGCTGTACCCACCACTGCAGAGCCAAAACACAGGGATTTAAATCTGCTAATCTCTGGCATTTGGATGCATTAGTCTCAAAACACCATGTTTAAGAGTGAAAAAACAGCTTTTTATACTAAAAGAAGACTGTCAGAATATTGCAAAGTGAGTTGCTGCTGTTTAAAGTTCATTAAAGATGTCCATATGCTGTGATTTGTGCTAGCATAATTATAATTATAACAACATTATAATCTTACAAATTTAGGTTGCTTGAATACCTTGAATCAGGGGTTGATTTTGAGCGCGGTCTGGAATATGTAAGCTGTGGTTTGAAAGGCCTTATAGGAGGGATGCTGCCCGAGAGTTTCCTGTGAGGGTCCAGGACATATTAAGAAATTACCCAGCATTATAAATATAAACTAATGTCTTGTTTTAACATAAAAGTTTCAGCAAAATGTACATTGCATTTAGTTTCAGAGGCTGTTCAGATTGTACATTTGGAACTCTAATCTCCACCCTGCTAGAAAAAAAGCACTAGACCAGCATAAACCCGAATAAACCAGCTTAGACCAACATGAAATGCTTGCTGGTCTGTGGTATTTTTTCAGCAGGGTAGCAATCATCATCATAATCACATTCTGAGTTACAAAAATGAAACAAACAGCATGCATTAAAGATAGCTGAGCTATCTGGTGAATTTGAAATGAATACATTGAATGGGAACAAAACCAGGGAATAGATATCAGTGCAGTGTATCACCTTTGCATGTTCCTGCCTGAGCCCTGAGACTGGTGAACCCTGGTGGTATTAGCTGGCTGTGGTTTGGGTAGCCAGCCAGCAGAGGGCACTGTACCTTCTGCTGCTTGTGAATCACTGTGTGAAGGGTTCAGTGCAGACTGCATTTGAGCAATTTTGCCATCTAGAGAGGGATGAGAAGAGATAGGCAGTAGGATGAGGCCTATGCAGTTCGTAAGTCATTCCACAATGTTAATCTCAAGCATTTTGGGAACTTAAATAATTAACGTTCATCCAGACCAGTCAGTTTCTGTCAATGAGAAGATGCTTGGCTACATGTAAGAGTGGACCTTGTATAATAGCAATAAAAATATTTTATTAACACACAACAATGTTATTAAATAGTAACAACAATGTTATTAAATGGTAATACACAGTAATTATGTTTTTTGGCATTTCATTTGATCACCACCAAGATATTCTGGACATTAATTTCATTTTAACATCATTTTTGATGAAGTTGTAATACATAGAGCCTCCTCTCTCTAAATTGTCTATATCTCTGTTCATTTGTATACTTGAGACTTGTGAAAGCACAGAACTAGCATACTACAATCTTTTTATGAAAGTATATTGGTTTTATATTATTTATAACACAGATTACAAACAGACAGTCCAGACCTTTGGATGGTACTGAACAACTTTACCTCTAAAATATACATCAAATCCACACATCACTGTATGAGTGGCACGTGCTGTGGGCTGTATGTACCTGGGCACTGGACAGATATGTGTCTGACTGGAGGAAACAGAGGAGCGTTGTTTGGAGGTGCAATCGTCGGAAACATCGGCCTGTGTCCATATCCTGTCTGCAGTTTCCTTGGCAACAGGAAGTCCTGGGTGACAATGGGACAAAGGAAACAAGAAACCTTCCCTCAGCCAAACTGGCACCTAGCTGGCCCACACAGTGACCCAGTGTGGCATCAGCTGTTTGCCCACATGGTGAGAGGTTTAAATGAGACAAGGGAGGCCTGATCTCAAAACAGTGATCACTGGCTCTGTGGGTAACTGGAGCCCGTTCTGGACGAGGCACGCAGGATGTAGCCCTGATGTGAAGCATCATGTGGCTCTTGTACAGTGTTCCCAAAGCTGATGAATAATTAACATTTGTTCAGACCAATCAGTTTCTCTGAATAAGAGGATGTTTGTTTACGGTAAGAGTGGAACTTGTATAATATTAATCACAATCTTTTATAATTTACCACATGCATTCAGCTCCGTTTCACATGATCATTAGTAGACTGATCACATGGCTTCACTAACAGTTCTCTTGGTTACAGAGAAAAAGTGAAGTACACAGAGATGGGCTAATTAACACAAGTGGCCTGAGTCCTAGTTGTGTCACTATTAAAGGATTACAGGTGAAGAAAGAGGTGAAAGTACACAACCAACCAACGTAACATCATTTTATATTAAAGTTCTCTTGTATATCTGATCTTAACTGCACACATTAGATCACTTTGATGACAAAAAAAAAACACTAATTAGTGACACGTGCAGTGAAAAATATTACTTCAAGTTTTATTCAACTCAAAAAATCATACTGATTAAAGGATCATTCATTTAACATATTTATTTAGGTTGAGTAAAACCTAATTAACATGTTACCACATGAAGTAATTTAGTTATTTTCTGAGGTTGAACTGATGCACCCTTTTAATTAAATTAGAGTCAAAACAGCTATGAAGTACAAGTTATTCATTTTTCATAAGATATTTCTGAGGAGATTAGGTATAAGATATTCAACTCAGGAAAACAAATGGAAAAAACAGGAGTTTCTAAAACTAGAGTCCAAAAATGAGTTAAAGATATAAAGAAAGTTCAACTCCTAACAACAAAGACTTGGTAGACCACCACCAGATAAACTGTCATCTTTGAGGAGAAAATCAAGCTCCACTCTTACATCAGATCTGAAAAAACCCACAGATGTTTCTGTCCATCCTTCCACCATAAGAAGACAACTCTATGGATCTAAAAGGATGTGTAGCTGTCAAGAATTCTTTACTAAGAAAAGAAAATTGACAAAAAAAGAAGAAAATTTACAAATCAAACAAAAAAGCTGCTGGTGATCTCAGATCGATGCACTGACCAGCCCAGAGTCCAGACCTGAATGTGTTTATTTTGGTTTTGTTTTGCTTTGTTTGATTGTGAGAAGCAGAAAATGCAACCAACTTCTAAGACTGAACTCTCTTTGAAATCTAAAATCAAAGGCAAATTTGAAAAATTGATAACCTGAAAGATATTATATTTAGTTGTTAAAGCTTCTGTGTAATTTTCTGTTAAATATGCTTTCTGTTTTTTTCCTAATGGTGCAAAATTAACTCCTAAACAGGTCATGGGCCGACCAGCAGGCCCAAAGTTTTATTACACACTTCTTAAACCTAAGAACTGCCCTGTACTTACTGAATAATAAGCCATAATGAGCCTGGGATGTTAGGGGCTGATAACATGTAGATAATAGCAGTTCTCACTGGAAATTAAATACATAAAGAGTGATATCTGATTTTAGTACATTACTGTACATAAAGGCTACATTACAACAATATGCTGCCCATTCCATAATCAGTGAAGAGGCTCCAGCCTTCTGTTGCCAAGAAACAGTTGAAAGCATGACTCCAAATTTTCATCCTTGATGCTTAAGTGAGGGATCCATCAAGCTTCAAAATATTTAATAAAATGTTTAAAACTGTGTTGGCCTTGATACTCAGCATAATATTCTCATGTAAAGGAAATACTGTGCATTATATTTTATCCATCTATAAACAATCAATTTATTTATTTATCATTCATCCCTTTTGTGCCGGTGTCTAGTTTGTCACTAGGCTTGCTTGTCATCTTCACACAAAAATGATTTCTAACTGGACAATCAATCAATCAATCAATCAATCAATCAATCAATAAGCTAAGCCAGTTGCTTGGATTTTTAAGGTCTGTACTGAACATGGAATTTCTTATCCTGCTGATGATACAACCTTGATTTTATCCATTTTAAACAGTGTGATATTCTGTCTGTTAAAGTTTGTAGATGTCTAGCTTTTCAAAATATCTTTGATACAAATGAGCATATCAGCTTGCAAAAGCTTAAACCTTATAAAATCCCATACTTATTACTTCCCAATGCTTATTATTCAGTAATTACTTGGAAAGCAATGCAAACTTAAGAGTTATTCTCGAGTTATAGATGTCTGTAATAGCCTTGATCTGCTGACAAATCCTGGCCATTTAAAAAGTTTAACATAACCAAAGACTTACCAGGTTTATTTTGAGTAAAACAATATCACACGTGTAAATATTGGTCACAACATTTGTGACAGTGCTTCCTTGAGAATAACACTAAAGCCCAAATATTTTATCCTGTTGTTGTGAGGTCAGCACTCATCAGCACTCAAACTTTCCAGCTGTTTAAACCACCTCAATAGTTTCAATATGTACTTTAACCAGTAGTTTCAAAAAGAATACTGTCAAATCATTATTTAGACAGCATTTACTCTTCGACCATGACACTTTCATAGATACTTGTGTTACAAAACATACCCAAATTAGCTAAAGTGTTAATTAAAGGCTGTTTTACATGGACAAAAATCTTTTTTTCTTGCCCAGTTTAAATGTAACAATTAGAAAATAATAGGGTGTCCCCAAACTTTTGACAGTGTATGTGGTGCTGAATGTCAGTCCTTACCGGCCGTGGGTGGGGGTTGTTCTTGCGGTGGGCGGACGCGGGTCTAGGCCGGGTGGTCTTGGCCTGGGCCGGGTAGCTGAACTCCTGTGAGTAGGTGCTGAGCTGCAGCTGAGGAGCCATCTCCCCTGACCACTCTGACTGAGCCTGGCTCTATAGCACTGAGCGTGTACTGTACCTGAGTGACCTCATTAGGACCTCTCCGCCTCCCTCTGTCTGACACACCACCACCCAGGACACGCTTCCACGCACTCATGGTGTTTATTTTAGTCTCTCTTCTCCCTGCCACGCCTTCTCTGCTCTAATCATAAGTCTTTTCAGCTTCTATGTCAGTGTCCAGTCTGCTGCTCACTTAGCTTGCTGTTCATTCTCACACCAAGGTGATTTATAACAACACAAAAAAGATAAGGCAGTTGCCCGTAACTCTCAAAAGGTGTCCTAGCCTACATTTTCTCTTGATTTACTTTCATCCCTGAGGTCCAGTTATGAGGTTTTGTTTGGGTTTATGTACCAAAAACAGTCATAATTTATTTAGTCATGACCATTTTCTAGCCTCTCTTATTCCTTAGAATTAAACAGATTATTTTTTGTTACTGTGCCTTTAAGACTGATATCACCTCTGTTCTGATTGGATGCCCTATATTGTGCCACATTAAAAAAGCAGGGCTGAGACACTCCTTATACCTTCAGCATGAATAGGCGGAGCTAAACTGCTGTAGGCTGGATAGGCAGATATATGTAAACATATCACAAAAAACAACAAATACAAAAAAATCCATCAACTGTATGGACTGGAGAAACAAACTATGTTTACATACTACATCTCAAACTCTTCATATGGGACCCTAAATGCTAAGCTCTGCCCTTGTTAATCTAATCACATCGCAGATCAAGTGACACAGTGAAACACATCATAAGGAATAATTCAGGTGGAGGTTCTGGAAGCGCAGTCATGTTGTGTATTATAAGCTCCAGTAAGCAGACAGAATAGAACAGTTGTTTGGCAGGTCACTTATCCATCAGCAGCTTCTAGTTTCTCCTGCCTCCAATGGCTCAGCCCCCTGGAGGCAAGAGTGCCATGGGGCCACTTTGCTTCTGTCCATCAATAATTCAAGTCTTTAGAGTGACTGGGGCCTTCACATCCTGCCCCCACTGGGGCCTGATGGAGTCTGACTGGATCTCTATCTACAGCCTGTAGATAGAGCACTGTGATCAAACAGTAAGCTGCTTTAAACCACTTGGGAACTACAGGGAAGCTGAAGGAGCAATGAAGAGTCAGGACAGTGGTTTGGCAAAACTGAATGCACTAATCATCTGTAGTCCATCCAACTTGTTGTATGTCTGCTCTGTAGACTGATACAGTACATTTTTGGGTTGGTGAACTGGGTTGAGCCAGTTGGCTCATTGTGTTGGGTCATTTCCACAGTGCTGAGTTTTTAGGTAGATTTTGGGAAGCCCATCTGCTGGGTTAATGACTCAGGCATGGTAACAACCCAGCCAAAGTTTCATTTTTTGAATCAATACAGCACCAGTTAGCGCAGTCAGCTAACAGGAAGCACAGCTAACAGGAAGCACAGCTAACAGGAATTACAGCTAATAGGAGTCGGTAAGTAAACTTTCAGGAAATAACTTTTTTACTACTTACTCTTCAGTGAAACGAACAACATAGGTGTTTATTTTGAGAAAACTCTATGTTATGAACTACATTTTTCTAGTTGTGGTGTGAAACTGCTAAGATTAACATTAGCTTGCTGTAGGGTCATTCTACAGAAACGTCCACTTTTCTATCTATCCATAGGTCTCACTGGTGTTACCGATCGTCATTGGTGTTACACATAAGAAAGGTAACACCAGAGACATTTTTGATGAAAAATGCATTTTACTAATTGGCTGCTACAGAGCAGCAAACCACATGTTGTTAATCATGGAACATCCACTAAAATATGTAATTGAATCCATTTGTATTGTATTTTTTCACAGTTACCAAAGAATAAATTAGGTCGTACCAGTGACTTCAACTAAAAGCTTCATATGAAATCATGAGCAAAAATTGAGAAGATTTCTGATAACTGAAAGACAGAGTGGACTTACCATGAGCTTTTCATCATAGATCTTCAGGAAATAGGTAAAAGGAAGTCAAGCGATGTCCTCAGTGTGATTTTTATTTCAAAATAAGAGATTTTTTGTTACGCGGTAACACCAGTGACACAACTCCTGGGGACCAGAACTTTCATTATATATTTTATAATATTTATTTGGCATTTGTTTTCTTTATGTCATTTAAATCATATATCTCATAGTCATGTATAGAGTATTGCAGTTAAAATTGTAGAAAAACATGTTTTTTTACCTCAAAATATGGCGCTCACCCTTTACACTGTGAGGATGAGCAGTTCTGTCGTGCTTGGAATGCTACATGATTGATTTAAAAAATCAAGAAGGTGTAATTGTTAAAATAACTTATTGTTTTATTTTAAAATATAATTAAATTGTAACCCTAACATGCTTTTCAAGGGTAATATATCTGTAAAAGCTATGGACACAAAAATGGACATTTCTTGGAGGGTCTCTGGTTGCTGTAGCCCCTTATTTGACACTACTCGACATTCATATCTGAACATTAGGTGATTTTAAGTAAACATGAACATTATCTGTGTAATAATTGTACTTTATATGGTGAATGTTACCCTGATGACTAAATTACATAGCCTAGCTAACACAGCTGGCCTAGCTAACTTAGCAAACTTGGTTGGAGACTTTATATCACCACTCTTCTCTGAATGTATGGTACATTACTTATATAATGTTTTACTATGGGGATAAAGGAATCTTGACAAACACTTCTGTTGTGCCCTGTGAGAAACAGAAGGTCCAGATGTTTTGTTCTACTTACATCTGTCCTCCGAACATTTAGCAAAATACTCCATGAAAGCCAGCAAGCTTTGCCAAATGTGGTGGTTGATGTGTCAGTAGGAGCTGATGTTGTTATAGCATAGTACAGTAATATGCTTAGAAGTACAGTATTAGACATAGAAATACAGTATCAGACTTACTTTAATGCGACATCATTTTAGGGCGCAGGGGTGTTAGTGTGCTTGTAGCATAGTTATATGCAGAAGTTAAATACTCATTAAAAATTATGTTTTGCTGACTCAAAAAGATTAACACATTCTCTGAAGGGAACAGACTTAAATGTACTATGTGCCATTTCATATTTTAACTACTTAATGACTTTGTAATTCAGAAGATCCAGTTTCATTCAGGAGTGTATACAAAAGTGTATACAGGGCGAAATGCATCAGCTTTGGAACATTCTTGTTTTTCAAAAATTGCTATTCATTTTTTCCCCAGAGAGAAAAAAGTGGCAAGAGTTCCTAATATGAGCATGTTGCCAACTACAAAATGATTCACGATTATAGAGATCTGCAGAGGTTATTTAAATAAAGATCATAATCTGATGTGAAGGATTAGAAATCTAATATGTCATAGGCAGTGTGTGCTAGGCCAAATGGTCTAATATGCTACAAATCCATTGAGAACCAGCCCGATACATGAGATGGATAGCTTCACTATTTATGGCCTACCGTGTAAGCTTGCGTTCACTCTTACTGGCATCGTGTTACCCTTTAAGTGAACCATTATTAACTCATGAGTTCTGCTACAGCGGTTCTACCTGTAGAATACTATAGCACTATGATCACCTACTTACACTTCTAAACACCCGTCAGCAGTTTGGTGCTGAAATAAAGGCAACAACAATAACAATCAGGACCATGTTTAATTATTAAAGTACATAAAATAGTAAAATACAAAGCCTCGCAAGACTCGGTGCCTTGCAGAACCACTTCTTTCTGTTTACTTTCCAAAACAGCTCTTTCAAAACATTCCACTACATCCTCAGTGGCCTTTTCTCCATCTCTGCCTTTGGAAGGATATTTGAGTATTTTTCTTTGGCAAACTAGCCAGTGGTTCTCACTGCTGCTTGCTCTTCACTGTGGCCTTGAGCTTTGTATAGAGGCTCCCGAAGTTCTGTAAAGAAAGGGCAGTCATCTTGAGGTTTAAGAAATTATAGTGCTTCAAAAAAAAAGTATGTTCTGTCTCTGAAAGTGGCCCACTTGGAAGAACCATGGCACAAACCTGAATTGCATAGTAGACTACTCCTAAGTAGCCTGCAATACAGCCACCCAGGAACAGATCGAACGCAGCAGGCTTCACCCTATGGGAAACAGTTAAAGTAAGACATAAGCTCTATTCAAGCAGGCGTTGAGTAATTACTATGGAATAAAATATAAATGTGATTTCCAACAAAATGACCATATTTAGCCCAGCCTGAAAGTTCATAATTATTCAAATTATTGCTGTCAGACTTGAAAAAAAAAACATGAGGATTGCAGATTTACCTCCCCAAGTAAATGTAATAGGCTATAGGGATGTTGTTATTAGTATAGTTGGGTCATTCTACAGAAACGTCCATTTTGGTGACCCTAGTGTTTACAGATATATTACAAATAAAAAACACGTTAAGGGTTACAATTTTTTTACATTTTCAAATAAAACAATAAGTTATTTTAACAATTACACCTTCTTCAGCCATCAATTTAGCAACATTGATTTTTAAATCAATTATCTAGAATTCCAAGCACCACAGAACTGCTCATCCCCACAGTCATGTGTAAAGGGTAAGCGCCATATTTTGAAGAAAAAAACAAATTTTTCTGCAATTTTAACTACAATTATCTATACATGACTATGGAATATATAAATTAAGTGACAAAGAAAACAAATGCCAAATAAATATTATAAAATATATAATGAAAGTTCTGGTCCCCAGGAGTCGTGTCACTGGTGTTACTGCGTAACAAAAAATCTCTTATTTTTGAAATAAAAATCACACCGATGACATCACTCGAGTTCCTTTTACCTATTTTCTGAGGATCTATGATGAAAAGCACATGGTGAGTCCACTGTGTCTTTTCAGAAATTTTCTCATTTAGCTCATGATTTCATATGAAGCTTTTAGCTGACGTCACCGGTATGACCTAATTTATTCTTAGGTAATTGTGAAAAAATAGAATACAAATGGATTAAATTACATATTTTAGTGGATATTCCATGATTGACAACATGTGGTTTGACGCTCTGTATCAGCCATTTTGTAAAATGCATTTTTCATCAAAAATGTCACTGGTGTTACCTTTCTTACGTGTAACACCAATGACGATCAGTAACACCAGTGACTCCTATGGATAGATAGAAAAGTGGACGTTTCTGTAGAATGACCCAGTTCTCTTTGGAAGTGATAACAGATATAGACTGACTTCAAAAATGAAAAATCTCTAACCTGTACATCATCATTGGCTGTTTCATCTGATCAAAGAATGTGACATCAGGATCCCTAGACAAAAAAAAAAACCCCAACCAATTCATTAATTCCACAGTTGGCCTTTTTCCACACGTGTGAATACGTTTACGTGTCTGTGTGTGTATTCACTTGCGGTCCTGACGGAAAGTGTGTCTGTAGACCTGCTGGAGGTAGCGTTTGAACTCCTGCTCTAAGCTGTTGATGAGGAGAGTGTGTTGTGGCTCTTTGTCCATCAGCTGAGTGGCTCGCGGGACAGACGTCAACATGTTCATCAGCGCAGACAAACGACTGTCCAGGATGTCCTACAAAATGTAATAAAATGTATGAGCACACAGTGAGACAGAGGAACACATCAGCCTGCTATGTTATGCAATAACAGAAAACAGTTTTTCACAAACGCCTGTTTACCAAACTGCCCTTGAAAACCTGGATTTCTTTTGGAGAACCCTACATAAGAAAACAAACACAGAGTACCAGTTAGAAAGTAGCACACAGAGCATATTCTTCTATTTTTTTTGTGTATTTGGGTCATTATCCATTTGGAGTGGGAATTCTCTTTCATCCCAAAACTAAATACTCTAAATGTGTCCATTAACATCTCCTTTTATCATATATGCAAAAAGGAGAGCTTAATTCCAGACATATTTTACATGTCACTGGTGTTAAATGAATATGGTATAACACCAGTGACTGTGACTCCAGTGACATTCTGGTTAAAATTGAGGATTTTGTAAACTGGCTGACTCATTTGCGGTCAGGTGACCTTGTGCAACTATTTAAAATCAGCAATAAAATTATATATGGCACCATTTTGAAAAAAAATTAATTATCCAGCCTTTAAAGCACATAACACCAGTGACACACAGAAGTTATGTGTTGCCTGATAAACTACATTATTAATAAATGATACTATGATGAGCCTTGACCCAAGGAAGCAGATTAATAGATGTGAAAATACTATGTAAAAATGCAAAATAAGAGTCCTGATAACACCAGTGACCAAAATCTCTTTGACAAATGATTTTTTAAAATAAAATACATATTTTTTTAATGTAGTATAATGTTAATTATGTATAAAGTATACCCAAATCTGTTTTATACAAATTCCTAAGTAAAACCTCTTAAAAATATTATGTAATAAATAATATGTTAAAAAAAATCTTTTTAAGCCCTGCAACCTTTGTGACATGGTTTCCCACTCAAAATGGAGAATGACCCATTTATTTTCTATGAAATTGACTTAAGATGTTTTGTGTGAATAAATGTACCAAAAGTTCTCCTCAAGGTCACTCATAATGTTGGTTTTATGAACAAAAAACAGTCCTAATTTATTTTTACATAACCATTTCCCAACCTCTCTTTATCCCTTAGAATTCAACACGCTGTTTTGTTAATGTGCCTTTGAAACTGATATGTAAATGACCTCTGTTGTGATTGGTCGCCCTGTATGGTGCCTCATTCTGAAAGCAGTCTGATAAGTTTGCACTGAAATCATCAGGAACATTAGAATAAATAAGCTTCAGTCACTACTTTCAGTTGTCTGGATGCTTTGGAAAGCTGCAGTGATACATTTGCTATCTGACAGCCACAAACAGCACAACATTTCATTTTCCGCACATCTTCCTTACATCTTAGATACAGACCGTCTGCAGTAGCAACACACCACATTCCTTCAGCGTGAATGGGCAGTCTAAACTGCTGAGCTGAATGGGTGGTCACATACAAATAGGTTTTTGGTTGTGACATCACAACAATGATGAATTCAGTACAGCCTGTTTTGCGGTTTTGTTTCCATATAAGGACTGTGTGGACTGTACTAAACTGTACTGTACTGAATGGTATAAACATTACATAGTACATCAAACTGATTTCTAAAAAAAAAAAAGAAATTCGTATTTCTATGATATGGTCCCTTACTGGATAAAAAAGTGGAAAATAACTGAAGCAGTTATCTCACCTTGTCCGACAGATTATACATGTACCGCACCAAGGACTCAGCAATGATGACCGTGTTCCGCTTCAGTTTCCTGATGTCCACTTGTGACCTGCATGTATGTGCGGTAGATAAATGCAAGCAGATATCAGACAGAGTAGAGCACATTCTACGTTTTTGGACTACTGCTCTATCTGAACCGGACTCTTACATGGTGTCAAGGATGGAGCCCCTGTGCTCTGATCTGGGGTCCTCCAGGTGCGAGAGGGTGAATCCTGGAATGTGTTTCATGCCATAGCGCTCATGTTCCCATGCTACTGTGGACTCCTACAGGTATGGGTGACCAAAATAACAATATCTCAGTACTTCTAGAGCACTGAACAACTGCAATAATGAACAACTGCAGTAATCAAATAACCAGAGCATATTAACTGCATAAACTGTGTAGTAACGAGGAGATGACTGTGACAGTTGATTATGGCTTATTTTATTTTAATAAGGTATTTTTACCAGTTGTTTGATTTGTTTTTAGTCTTAAAGCCCCATATCCTACATTTTCTTGTATTTAATTTTTTCCCCAAGGTCCATTAATGATGCTGGTTTTGTCACAATTAACGTTTACATGACCATTTTTCAGCCTCTCTTTATACCTTGGAATTAAACAGGCTGTTTTTGTTAAAGTACCTTTAAGACTCGTAAATGTAAATGAGTTCTGTTCTGATTGGCTGCTCTGCACTGTGCCTTATTCACAAAGCAGTCCAGATTGAAACAGTCCTTATTACTTCAGTATGAATGGGTGGCTAAACTGCTGTACGCTGAATAGTTGGATAGATGTAAATGTGTTAGTTTTTCATGACATCACAAAAAACAATTAATTATTATAATTTTTTATAGGGAAAAAAAGGATGTATGAAAATGGGAGTTGAAGGTTTAACAATGTTTACATACTACATCAAACTCAATTTTGTGTTACCCAATAATTTCGTTTTACCCAATATGGGCCCTCTAAATAGTTTATTTTTGCAAACTGTTAATTAATAAATAATTCCACTTTCTTAATAATAGTAATAATTATAATAATATTTTTTATTTATGTAGCACTTTTCATGCTGGTCGCAGCTCAGAGTGCTTTACAGACAGGTGATAAAGCTTAACAGTAATACATGAAATTATAACTATCAATTAAGAATCATATAAGAAAATGACACAGATCAAATTAAAAGATAAACACCACTAGAAGTAGCGTTTTAATTAAACGCTAAGTTAAAGAGATACTTTTTTAGATGTTTCTTAAAAGTGAGCACTGAGCTTGACTGTCTAATGAAAGGTGGAATTGAGTTCCACAGTTTAGAAGCAGAATAACTGAAACAGGTGTTTGCAGAATGTCAGTATCTGCAGATCCAAGGCCACATGCTGGAACATAAACACATAGACACTATGTAAAGCAGGTGCTTTCAGATCATTGAGAGCCTGAAAAACTAGTAGCAGAACTTTAAAATCTATCCTGAATGATACAGGTAGCCAGTGCAGTTTTTTTTCAACATGGGAGTTATTTAATCTCTCTTTTTTGTTTTTGTTAGGATGCTGATGCATTTTGTACAAGTTGTAAAGGATGTATTGTTTTAATAGGAAGTCCAGTAGGAAGTGCATTACAGTAGTCAACTCTGCTTGTAACAAATGCATGAACAAGTTTCTCTGCGTCACTCTGAGATAGAAAAGGCTGAACTTTAGCAAAGATAAAAAGCTACTTTAGTGACTGTGTTTACATGCAGGATAAAACAACATCAACGTGGCTCTGCTATTTTGCTGCTGCATTTTGCCCATTTTATCTTGTTCGTAAACCTCAGAAAAACCAAACATGGTTACATACCATGTATTATAAAAAATGACGAAGTATCGTGCCATTTCTGCCCTTACCTGCAGGTTGATCTTCTTGTGCACAGTTCCAAACCTCACCCATGGAAACCTGGAGGAGATCACCTGCAAAGATGGAATGCATATATGCCACAGTGCATCTATGAAGTAAATGAACAGCTAGTTATGAGAATACAGTAATATATAGGCTTGAGCTTCATTCTCACCTCTTCCAGCTGCTGGATGAAGCCATACTGAGGGGTCCCTGGTTTTGGGGGTCGAGATACATGGAGGAAAAGCTCATCCCCAGAGCCAATAGTGTCCAAACAGAGAACAAATGCCACATTGTCATGCAATAGACTGGATTCTGTGTGGTGGAGAAACACAGATAAAGAAACAAATAAATGTCCTGCTCTAGTGTTGCTTGTATAGCTTGCTACTTTTTAGGGTGAACAGGACAGGAGAGCGAGGCTGTTATGACAGGCAGACTTTCTTATCACAAATGAAAAGCTATAACAGCTATCTCCAATTCTGCAGCAAGCAGTCGTGACCAGAGTACATCCACAAAACACCACAAGCCTCCTGACAACGGCAAATCATTTCAACAGAAAGTGCACAACACATATCATCCTGTCTGTGTGTGTTTGACTGACTGCGTAGTCAGACTGAAAAACACTTGGAAAAAACTTCCAGAGCTATGACCAAGGTAAAGTAGTTCAGCACACCGCTGGGCCATGAACACATAAGCCTTCTCCAACAGTAACATTTAGTTCAAGGCTAACTTATATGTCAGTTTTCTATAACAGTCATGTTCATGTTATGGTGAATAAAGGGTCACAAATAAATGACAAACCTGCATGGTCCATATTTTCCTCGAGCCAGCGCTTGGTGCCAAGGAAATTATATTTCCCACCACCAGTAAGGGAGAAAAGGAGGTGATACCTATAATTAGAATAGCCACAAAACAAGCTAAAGGTCAAAATAAATAGGTAAATTTACAAGATGTACTTGATCGAGTATTAACGCTATGCATTTTTCATGTGTAAATAAACAGATGAATCAGAACTACTGATTGTATCTTGTTTATTTATATACACTACCAGTGGTGTCCAATCTTATGTGCAAATGGCCGGAGGTTTAGACACACTGGATCAAATGTTTGTTTTACATGATCAAAAAGGCTACAAGCCTGTTTGTACTTCTGCCACCTCTGCAAGCCTATGCCTAAATGCTTGAATACTTGTTACATAAACAAGTATAAACAGTTCAGGTCATGCCTATTCATGAACCATTTCTTTTTAGGAAACTTTCAGTTTTTCAAAGAAATCTGCAGGGAAGTTTTTTGCATGTTCTTTGTAAACATTCAAAAGTTTCTTTTCTACTTTTTACAATCCAGCTAATTCCAATTACAAATTTAGACTCCTTCTATCCATAAAACCCTACTTCACATCTCAGATATCCATTGTTCTAATGCAAATTTTCTTTTTTTTTTCAGACTATTTCCTTTTTTTTTCAGGAACAGCATCATGACAGCTACACATCCTTTCAGACCCTAGAATCTTGTCCTGTATGTAAGTGGATCATCTTACATCTAATATACTCAGAAAATCTCCTTTAGCCATTTAGATGCACATGAGAAAGAAATCTGTAAGGCAGCTGAGGTGAGTTTGGGTAGCAGTTTGGGTGAATGTTAGTGTCTTGTTGAAAGGGAACATAATGTCATTGATAACCAGTGGTGGTGAATTCAGGTCCAGAGGGTACAGGTCCTGGACACCTCCTCTGTAGTGACTCCTTTGGTGGCACGGTGGCATAGTGGGTAGAAGGGCAAGTGAGTGAATGTATATGTCTGTCTGTTTGCCCTGCGATGGACTGGGCGACCTATCCAGGGTGTATCCTGCCTTCCGCCCAATGACCGCTGGATAGGCTCCAGCATCCTCCGTGACTCAGAGGCATAAGCAGTTTCAGAAAGTGTGTGTGTGTGTGTGTGGTGACTCCTTTGGGAACAGAGTTAAAGTGGCAGTAGGGTGGACAAGCTAAATACAGATAGATTTGATAATATATTTAATTGTTGAGGCTTCTGTTTAATTTTTTGTTAAATATTTGTGTCCTGATTTTTTCTGATGACGAAAACATAGAAGTTTAATTTATAAGGCCATTTTGACTGGAAATGAAATGCACAGCAGGGTGGTCTCTGACTTTTGCACAGTATTGCTGAATTTCTCTTAGATCTGAAAAGCATTCTAATTGGCTACTCATGAAGCTGCTTGGAAGAATACCAAGAGTGTGCAAACGTAGGCAAAACAGGCTACTTTTAAGAATCTAAAATATAAGTGGGCTGAAAAAAGGAAAACCCTATTAATGGGGTGTATAAACTTTTGACCAGTATTTTGACACATAACTTAAGGTACAAATGGCACATTTTCATTCAGTTAGATTCTACTTTCACAGTACATGGTTTGCTTTAAGACAGGAGTTTCATATGGTGGATGTATGACAGCAAACCCTCACTACCTCAATACATACAGCAACTCTAAGTACACGCTATTGTGTTTTATATTTGTGCCACTTAATCCTGCTTTTGAACAGAGACAGACAACTTACGGAGCTTTGTTGCGAGGATCACTGTAGAGTCTTTGAAAGAGGCGAGCCAGTTCCAGCAGCACAGTGACTCCACTGCCATTGGAGTCTGCTCCATATGCCAGCCACTGAGAAGCAAACAGGTTCACAGCCATAAACAGAAAGAAAGTCCTATTTAACACACATGTTCTGCTTTTTAGAGCATAATAGAATCACAGTGTGTTAGAGGTCAACTCTTAATCATTAGGTGTCGAACTGTAATAGACTGGGCAATGAACCTCAAGAGTGTAGAATCAGCTCCAGACCTTTAATCCATTAGAGATATTGTTCATATTTTTAATTGGTCAGTTTAAAAGATTCATTAAATGATGGTTTAATGATCTGGGAAAAGCTGAGGGATAAAGATAATGACTTTTAAGCCCAACTCAGCAGGACCAAGAAAAGTAAAACCAACAAAAAAAGCAATCAAGCTTCTCAGAAGGTCAGCAATACCTACGGGTATTTAACCACAGTCTTGCTAGCAAAAAAGAAATTATGTGTTGGAAATTGGAAAGAAGCAGCATGGGTGGATAGTCTGGCCAGCTGAGAGGTTATAGGGCTGGACAGGCTGGTAAATCTGCCCTGCAACAACGTTCACATCTCACACAAGAACAGAAAAGAAGAAATAAGAGTTTCCTTTCATAAGAGTGAATAGCTCATACCAGTGGTGGGCCTATGGTGCAATGAAGTATCCTGATTTCATCACAAACCTGGAGATTTAATCTCGCCTATGATTTCAGTCATTCAAGAGACACAGTCTGAGTCCATAAAGCTCAAGAAAAGAACATTACTTTGTTATTTAATGGATGATGTGCCAAGTTAACAAGATTATTACAGCATCGTCATAGCTTTATCAATCAACAGCGCAAAGCAATGCTGAGGGGCAAATTCATCTCCACAAGTGATACTGTGAGCTAAATTAATGCTCCTAACGTCTGTTTGCGTGTGGTTGTAAAGGTCAGCTAGCTTAGAGCAGTCAATTTAGAACTTGACAGTGTAAGCGTAATCATTTTATGATGCCCATGAATGTTAAATGCACTGAACGGTCATAAAGGGCAACCAAAGATCGACAGTGAAGACAAGTTGATGTAGTGAAGAAATGAAGAGCACACATATTTTTCAAAACATTTCCCTTTCAATCACTGAGACTTACTGGAGCAAGGCCAAAGGAGTCATAGTGGGCGGTGAGCACGATTGTAGGTGGGTCTTCTCCGACTCCAGGAAGTACACCCTTGGAACAAAGCAATCAATCAGTGAGACTGGCAGGTTCAATTACAGGTCACACAGTGATACTTTAAGGGATGGAGTTGCCAGTTAAAGCTGTCAAGCTCACCTCTAACGTAATGATGGAATTGTCAGTGATGGCCTTGATGGGGGAGTTGTTGCTCACCAGTATCTGGAAGGCAGTGGCTGTGACCATACTGCGGAGAACTGCAACAGAAACAATTTGAAACAAGCTGAATTTAGATTTAATAAAAAAATGCGCCGATTAAAAAAACCCTTCAAAATAGTTTAAGCCAGATCTTTAATGCAGAAAAACAGTGCAAACGTTTTTGTCACCAAATACCTTTTTCAGTGCAGGTTGATTTTGTATGGCCTACACATCTACATGATAAGTTTGGATGCCTTTCATTCTTAGGTGTGGTGATTTTGCTCTGAACTACTTTTTGCTGAAATGAAAATAAAACATTTTGCTTGTGCAAAAGTTACAGCCCAATTTATACTTTGTTTTTTTTCTCTTTAATTTGTTAATCTCAGCAAATAAATAGAGAAATTTGCAGTAACATTTGCACAAAAATAGCATGTTTCAATTTTTTTTTTCCCAGAAGAGGATGTGTTAACTTATATGCACTAGACAGTCAACATTTGACCAGGGGTGTTCAAACTTTTGCACACATCTGTATATACACTGTATATGACTTCACTGTCAGAACAAAACCTCATATCTTAAAAATTCTCCAAGAAAATTCTCCAAACTTCACAGGAGAAGGAAAAAAAACATTCTTCGCTTTCAATGTAAGTAAAGTAACAGGAGTTTAGACTGTTTCTGTCGGCCGTTCGTCATGAAAATTTGACATAAACAGCAGTAAACACCAGCTTGTCACACACCCCTCTGGATCTGACTCTTTGGAGAACTTCTCTTCACTTGGAGATAATGTGACTGTCACACCACCATCCACAGCCAATCGTTGTTCCCCTTCGCCTGAATACTAATCTGATACACCTGTCTGGTTTGTCATATGACTTGTGGTAGTTAGTATTTTAAGCCCAGGCTTTAGTTTAGTTATTTGCGAGGTATTGCTTCCTTCAGTAGAGCTACTGAGCGTTCCATTCTGTGTTTGTTTGCCTTCCTGTGTATATGAGTGTTTTTGGGACTTATCAACTCTGCCTTTTGCCTGTCCCTTTTGTGGATTGTGTTTACCTGTTCCTGTCTATGTTATGTTCATCCTTATGTGGCCGATTTTGGGTTTGACCCATGCATGTTTACTAACCACTAGTATTGATTGTATTCACACTAGGAAAGCCTCATTTCCTACTTTTACTCACAAGCGTCTGGCCGGTTCTGTCTTGTTACACAGCTGGTAGCTGCTAAAAATTAAAATCATCAAAAATGGAGAGACAAGGTTTTGTTTAACAGCAACAATATATAGCACTAGTCCCAAAGTTTGGACACACCTACTATCAGAACGGTTTTCCTCATTTGTACTATTTTTCTCATTTTACAATAATTATGAATACATTTAAACTATGGAATATCACATATGGGGCAATGCAAAAATGTTAAATGTAATAATAATAATAATAATAATAATAATAATAATTTACGTTCTTATTTTGCCGTGATGCAGCATTGCACAAATTTGACATTCTCTGCATTCTCTCAAGCAACTTCATGAGGAGCCACCTGGGATGCTATTCCAACAGCACAGCTGTTGTTGGCTGCTGAGAACTACTTCTTGGGGGCAAAATTTACAATTACAAATTTACAAAATTTCATCAACTGTACTACTTATATTTGTCTTAGACACAGATTTCAAGCACTGAAGCACAGAAGCCTTTAGACTGTAATGTCTCAATATGTAAAACACATTCAGTCAGGTGTGTCCTACCTTTTGACTGACACCTATACCCACCTGGCTGGTACCTAAAACTGAATATAACGAAGAATTGATATTCTTCTCACCTACTTTGGCTCCTCTCACCTCTGACCAGAATGGAGGCAGACTTGGTGGCTGCAGCCAGCTTCACTTCTGCATACATGCACAGAAGCTGCTCATCTTCGTGGACCACGTACACGGGCATGAGGGTCTCCTTTTTCAGAGCCTCTGACTCACTCACCATGAAACCCTGGAGGACGAGAGATCACATTTACTCCTTAAATCATTCATTCTAAAGGCAGAGAGCAATTTATCCTTTGGAATTTTATGATGCAAGTTCTGTAGCTGCAGGGCTGTTTACTTCCACCTCAAAATGTCAGAATCCCTTAATGAAAACATAGAAGCCCAAGGCTGGATTATGAAATGGTAAAGGAAAATGAAAGAGTGCTTCTTAGAGACATCAAAATCGCCTAGCAGAGTGCAACGGCGTCTGCCAGCACCTGTATGACGTCTTCAGGTACGGTAGAGATGTTCTGGGGGAGCAGTATGAGCACTGCTGCTGCGTTCTGCCTCTTGGCCTCTAGGTAGCGCTCTGCTGTAAAGTCAGGCAGCTTCATGATCACACAGCGACGGGTCAGAATTGTATCATCCGCTGAACGAGCCTCGGCCACGACGATGGCACCACGGCAACCTGTGGATTAAACATCAGATTATATTTTATGTAAACGATAACCCATACAGCCAAATTCAAAAGTTTAAACACCCCTGGTCAAATTATGTTTTGTTGAAGTGCACATCCTTTACAGAGAACACACTTCTGCACTTTTTTTTATTGCACGATTTCTATTTGTTTAACATTTTGGAAAAAAATAAAACGACTTGATTTTTTATGTGTAATTCCGCAAATAAACAGTAGTTGTGCATTAGAAAGTGACTTAAAACAGACTTTTTAAAAGATTTTCAGCTTCTTCACCTTTGTATGCATCCCCCTTTATACTGTATTATAGAGCTCCAACACAAAGACTGACTCATCTATCTGTAAGTAAATCTATATGTTGAAAAAAGACCCATAATTCCCTGTGTGCTGTGCCTGTACACTGTTGGAAATAAAGGTTCTGTGCAGGTACATTTTTTATTCATCAAGGTACAAACAATGTAAATGTACCCTAAAAGGTACAACATTGGCTTTAAGGTCCAGTTGTGCACCTTAAATAAGTTTTTCCTGGTGAAAAGTTCATATTTGTATCATTTCATAACGGAATTTTTTAAAACAGAACAATAAAATAAAAAGCCTGGAGATGAGACGGGGTGTGTGGAGTCTTAGACTTAGAAAATATAATTTCAATGGATTATGGTACAATTATGTTCCCTGACTAAAGGTACTGAAATGTACACTTGAGGGTACCACCATAGTGACAAGAGGGCTACTGACCCAGTGACAGTTTACTACCTTTTTTTCTGAGACTGTACAGATTAGGGGATCTGAAGTGATGTTACCTCGTTTGTCCTGCTGCAGGTTGTACTGCTGCATCCTGTAGGCTGTAAACTCGTAGGAGGACGCAGCTGGAAGGGCAGATGCATGCAGCAAGTGTGCAGACAGCAGCAGCATGGCGGCCACTCTGGAGCTTCTCAAAGTCATGATGCTGCCACACATTTTGAGTAAACCTACAAAAAGAGAACAAGGGGGTTCCACAAAGAGCATTTAACTATACCTAATACAGTTAGAGTAGCCTATTAAAGAGAAGTCATACATTAAGCAACCAAGTACAACTAGGCGTGTTGAATGAAGGCACTAGGTCAAAATGCTGTTTACTCCAATGTGTAGAATCTCACGTTAGTTTAAACCCCTTAAATTTCAGAGTTATTATTCAATTATAAATCTTAAGGCAAATGATCCAGTACTGAGTGTGAATCACTCCATGAGGAAACCTGCTGATGGGTCAATAGAGCTGTCAATAGAGTTTAAGGGCTTAACAACTACACCCAGGGCTCATTACAACAGTGGTTTACTACGTTGCTTGCATTTAAGTAGAAGAGACCCCCACTACAAGTTTTAAACCTCACCTGAAGTTGGTTTTGGTCCCTTTTCTTTAGCAAAAAAGGTGTTTTTCCCTTTTTTCTCCTTGTAGTGTGCGCTGTCCAGACTCTGGCCAGTAGAAGAAGGCTCCCTGAGGCCTGTAGGTAAGCCTTCTGCACCATCTGCTCCAGGAGGGATGAAGCAGGGCTAATCAGGCCTTTCCACCAATCCTAGGCCTTCCTGCCTCTCTCTCTCTGCTAATAATTACAACTTCCTGGCCTATCAGAGATATAGAGGTTAATACCATGTCTTCCTGAGAGCACTCACAACTGACAATAGACTTAATCTGACATACAGCAGGAGAAACATGCAGTAATAATGTAAATGAACAGACTGGACAAGGTGCATCAACAGGGTGAGCAGAAATCCTGTGGTTCAGCTTCATTTTAGGTCTCAAAAATAGTTTGTCTGTTCAGTGTTTTCAGATTTTTTCAACTGTTGGATGTGTTTATTAAGCTCTTGCTAAGATTGTTATTTTTTTGTTTAGTTTATTAAAAAAAAAACTTTTCCCACATGTACATGTATATTTTGTTTTTATGAAGCTATATACTCATATATTATCTTCTGTGTACTGTCCTAAGTGTATAGTGTTCTATAATCACACCTAAGGGGTTCTTCTACTTTCTGTTAGAAATAAAGGTTCTGCGCTGTTTAATTGTTTTTTAGTTCATCAAGGTACAAACAATGTAAATGTGCCCTCAAAGGTACAACAGTGGTTTTAAGGTCCAATTGTGAACCTTAAATAAGTTTTTCCAGGTGAAAACTATGTATTTGTACCTTTTTATAACCTAATGTTTTCAAACAGAACAATAAAATAGAAAGAGTGAGTTTCGTACCTTTATTTCTGAGAGTGCTGGTACAAGCTTGACATCATAAACATAGTAGAACCCTTTTCAAAAAGGTTCTATATAGAACCATTTACAACATTCTCCATCAATCTGAATAACCATTTCACCACGCAAAGTACACTTTAAGCATGCACAGGGTTCTTTGAGTGTTCATGGTTCGATACAGAACCACTGTCTTTACTAAAGAAGCCTTGAAGAACCATCTTTGTGTGAGTTACCATTGTTTGAGCAATGTAACCTGATGTTACTCTTTATGACGCTGTTTAGAAAGAGTTAACATTTTTGAGTAAAGATCTCACCAATACAACTATCTGCAGTCATTGTTAAAGTCAATGTGAATCGGAAATCATGGTGCATTTTTCTTCCTTAACATATTTCTATTATAAAATAATCATGGGCAGGACATTTTTTAATTTACTGTAATCTGATAGGATTGGGAAAAGTGGATGTTCCAAAATGAATATGGAGTCAGACCTGGACGCTAGTCTTCAGTCAATCAAGGAGTCTAGCAGTTTACTGATTTCTTTGTTCTACCAAACCAACTAAACCTGGAATTTACTTGCTGATTTGAATCAGGAATGTTTGAGCAGGAAGTTTACCAAACTGGGCAGGAATCCAGCCTTCGAGACCAAAGTTCCCCACCCCTGGTGTGATTGTTCCCTGCTCATGGTGCACAACAACGTATTCAAACCACTGGAAACATTTTCAAGGTGGGCAAAAGTTACTACATTTAGATCCAAGATTACAGAGAAACAAGAATTTTGCCTCTGAAATAGCATATGATGGATTGTGCTTAATATGACGAAGATATGAACTAGGAAAAAATGGCCAATTGTGAATTCATTTTGACTTTAGAGTTTAATCTGAAAAAGTGCATTTTCCTTCTGTAAAATCCCATTTCAGAGTGAAACATGATATTAGGAATGCTCTCTGAGCTACCAGAGAGAAATTGCTCGATGACAGGTAGGGGTGTGGTGGTAGGATATGATATTACTGGATAATATTTTCCTCACTCACCGGTGCATGGCATTATTGCATTTTCAAGGCAGGCAGAAGTCATTACAATGTGATGGAAAACTACACAAAAACAACTATTTTGTCTTTTAAATGGTATGATACGGTGAACAATAAAAGTATGAAAAAGTAGTAGCCTGCTGCTGTGGTCAGTATGTGACCATGTTTAAAAAAACGGCTGTACATCATCTCACTTTATAAAAACGAAGGGTGTCAGTTCAAATTACTCAGTCAAATGATGTTTTGTTGATTTTCTCGTAGGTGAAAATAAGTACACATCCTCTATAGAGAGGAAACTTAAATATAACATTTTTCTTGCAAATTTAATGGACAATTTCTGTTCATTTGCAGAGTTTATCATATTGGAAAAAATACAAAATATAACATAACGGTTCTATTGGCCACATTCTATGTTTCCCCAGTATGCTAAACTCAGCAAATGAACAATAACTGTGTATCAAAAATGTGCAGAAATATGTTCTCCATAGAGGACAAAACGCCATTTGACTTTTGCATACGACTTTAAGCAAACTGTGAACGATTAATAAATTTAGTTATACTTATATGACCCCAATGTCCCCTATTGGACCATGAAACATGTGGCCACATGCATCAACAGGCACTTCACTCAAACACAGCCTTTCACACATACATACATGACAAGGCTCACAACTGTATGTGCCAGATGTATTTATTGATATGCTACACTACAACAATAACATTGTTAAATACTGGTATGGAAACGGTTCACATCTTTACAATCATGATATTTATCAGCGGAATAAAAAACAAAGAAAAACAAACGTGTCTCTATGTTATAAAATGCATACTTTCCCCTTTGTTGGAATAAATTAAAACAAACCACTCAGCAATAAATAATAAGGTGTACTACAGAGCTTGACTTAAGGCATAACTCTAATACAGCAGACCGGGAGAGGAAAAGAAGAAATGGTTTATGGTTCACATTAAAAACGAGGAGGAGCACGCTCAAATTACACTAAGAGCAGGTACAACAACAGAGGAAGAGGGCACCCGTTCTAACGGAACAGAAATTCAGGTTCTAGAGTTCTCTCCCATAGTCTGTCAGTACTAGTAACAGAAACAGCTTTCAGATAACCATTAAAAGTGGCCAAATGAGAGCAGAAGCATAAAAGTGAGTTTTAAACATTTGACATGTTCTTTATGTCCATGAAAAAGCATAATATTGTTGCTGGGGAACTGTGACAACAGCTTTAAAGTTCAGCAGAGAGCACTCATTCATTCTGCATGAGCACATTAGTGTTATCACATTGAACCTTGCCAATGAGCCATTCCACAATACCTCCCCCCAAAAAGTAAACCAGTCAACACCAACTCAAACTGTGTGCTGCACAGTTTATCATTTACAAAACCCAGACTGTGTGAATGATAACATTATTGGCATGGGAACTGTAGGTGCAGCCTTGTGCGTCCTAACAACAGCTACAAACCTGTTTAGTACACATTTAGATGGCTCTTCAAGGGTTCTTTAGTAGAGGCAACGGTTCCATTTAGAATCATGAGTTACATTCAGAACCACTGGCATGCTTAAATGGTTCTTTGCATTGCGAAATGGTTCTTCAGACTGATGGAGAATGTGTTAAAAATGGTTCTATAAAGCACAAAAAATAAAAAATAAAATAAAAAAAATCTTCTACTGTTACCAGCAAAACCCTTTTTGGTGCTATATAGAAACATGAAATGCATGAAATGGGTCTGAACAGAACTCATGGTTCTAAAAAGAACTGTTTTTTTTACTAAAGAATCCATGCAGAACCATCTTTTTTAAGTGTGTACACCATACAAAAAAAGAATGGACAGTTTTAGGCTTTGCACTGGGGAACTTGCATACAACATAATAGATAACTTGGTACCTAAAAGCCCCTGTCCAATCAGACTATCCTGAAAATGGCTGCAAAACAAAGCAGAGCATGGTCAGGGCTTAAAGGAGCAGAGCAGTCCAATTCATATTTACAACAGTCTAAAGCGCTCAATCATTTTGTTTGAGCACATTAGTGTTTTCATTTTGGACCCTGCTGATGAGCCGTTCCACAAAACCCAAAAAGAAAGAAAGAAAGAAAAAAAAAAAGCGGACACTACCCTTCATTTTATTTCTAGTCCAAAGAGCCATTAAGAACAATTTCATTTTTCTTTACTTCTGAGATTGAATATAAGATAATCCAATTGTATAAGGACGTGAAAAGTCAAAGGAAAAATTCAAAAATTATTAAAGAAGAATAAATGTGACTCTTTACAACCTTGCAAGACCTGGTAGACCACCAAAACTGTTATCATCAGGTAAACAGTACTAAAAAGCTTTAATTTTTGAAGCACTCTTGCTTCAGATCTGAAAAATCCACAGGTGTTTCTGTCGATCCTTCCATTGTGAGATGACAACTCAACATTATAGGTCTGAAAGGATGTGTAGCTGTCAAGACACCCTTACTGAGAAAAAGAAATACAAAAACATGTCCACCTCACAGTCCCCAAAGTTTTTTTGAACAGCTAAAAGTCCCCTGAAAAAAATGGAAGCTGCAATAAAAGCTGCAATAAATACTGAAAAAATGTATTATATTTAGTTGTTGAGGCTTCTCTGTAATTTTGTGTTTTCTGTATTTATTCCTGATACTGAAAAATGAATACCTTGTACTTAATGGCTGGTTTGACTGGAAATTAAGTAAATGAAGGGTGTTCTCTGACATTTACATGGTAATGTATTAAGTAGTATTCATACAATTCCATTGTTATTTTATCTCATACATTCCCCTAAAGTAGTGTGCTGTGTTTAAAAAAGCTGGAGTGTTACTGGGGTGTGTGTGTGTGTTCATGTGTTGCATAAATGGCATCTAATAAAAAATGGCAGCGGGGGGGGGGAGGGGGGATAGGTGGCACATGGTGGATCTACAGGACATCTATGACAAATTACGATACAGTGAGTACAAATAATAAGTACTGTGACAATACATGAAATAAGAAGACCTCTAAAAACATAGCGTACTCAGCTTTAAAACTGTTTAAAAGAAATGTAATACAATACTGTATACATCTACAGTACCACCTTCTTTAAAATCTTCAGGGTCTTCTAAAGAAAAGTTAATTTGCTTAAGTTTGCCAGACAGAGATTAATGGTGTGTTCCAAATTTTTTGCAAAATTAAATGGTTAAGATGTAAACAAAGTCATTCAGAGTGGTTTGATGTGAAATCTACGACCTCAGAGAAACTTATGGAGTCAAAAGTTTGCAGTGTTGGTGACAGGAACCAGATGTTATTACATTAAAGGTTACAAATAGGTTCAAGACAGTGTATTATGATAGTTGTAAAGGATTTGGCATAAAAACGTATCCTTGAAATCTATTCATGGCAGAGAAGTACATGCAGGGTGTTGTAAGGCAAAAGCCATGCAACTCCTGGGTCCTATCACCTCCACTGTTCCATGTTGCATCAAAACATGATTGAATTTGTTTCCATTCAGTCATTTTTAAAATTGGGTGGAATTTCCACTATAAGTTTACTCCTCTAATGAATAATCTTTCAATTTTACACTACTATGGTCCAGATCACAGTCAATCTGTGAAACGGTTCACTAATCTTTGGCTAAAATGGCTAAAATGGATAAACGCATGCGCTGCTGGCGCTTTGTCAAAAGTGTCAGTGAAAGACATTAATTAACAGAAAAGCTCTCAGAGATGGAACATCGTAGGGGCATTAGCTGTGATCTGGCAACCCTGCACTTTTCCTCAGTCCTTATTTCCATTAGCGGTCGGGCTGCAGAGGAGCATCAAAGACATTTGTGGCATCACTGAGAACACTCATCGCTTTTCATTAGGAGTTCTTGGCACAAATTAAACAATAATAAAAAAAAACAATCAACGACAGTTTAGTCGTGTTATAGAAAGCTATGCAATATGTATGGCAATAGCTATGTCACTTCTGACATTTTGTACAGTAAAAGTGGACACAGTGCTATTAATGCCTCCCAACAGAGCTGTATAAAGTCATATTTATCATATTTTGCTAGTTATTACCTTGTCAACAGACAAACAAACAACAGAAGTGCTGCACCTGTAACTGAAGTCGGCACTAGAGATACGAAGTCTGTCGACTTTGCTTTAATTCCACGCCATAACTTGATGTAGTAAACAGAGGTAAATGCAAGTAACTAAACACAAAAAAATCTTCTGTAAAGCATCAGTCTCATATCTGATCCCAGTCACTGCACTAACAGTGAATGAATGAATCCCTTCATTATAATTAGTATATTTCAGTTCCTCATTGTTAGATATGATTTAACTTCTGTTCATTTTCAAGCTCAATTGCAAGTGTTTTAACTGAATTTAAGTGTCTCAAACCAGATTAAAGTACTCTTTTACATGAGGAGGTGGGGTAATGTCATTTTTCAGGTGTTTCTCAGTGTTTTTAGTCCCGTCCCAATCTACAATTTTTACAGACTGTGTGCTCCCACGTCAGTCGGCTTTTACCTACTACAAAACGAACCCTAGTTAAAACCCCAGGTTATATCAATCCCATGCGAATTGACATGCCAGTAAGAATGCAATCATATTCAGACTGAATTTTTCTATGTGTTACGTATGTACGTATGTGGAATTAAATCATTTGCATGTAAAAGTCATTCAGGGTGGTTTGATGTGAATTGAGCAGTTCTAGAGAAATCTCCTGATTCAGAATCGTGTAGAGTAGTGGTGATACGTCCGAAGTGTTTAATGCCTGTATAGGCTACCTCAAAAAGCTGTTACAAGACATAGGTACAAATAAGTTGCATGATGCCCGAGACATTGTTTTATGACAGTTTTGAGAAGATTTTGGCCTGAAATATATATATATTTTTTTTTACATATTGTAGAAGTCCATTCAGGATGGAAAGATCCATGCAGGATGTTGTATAGCAAAATAGTACCTAAAGAATTTTCTTGTTTTTTTAGTTTAACCACTTGTACCATTATCAATATCAAAATTTCAAATATCAAAATTTAGAAGACATGTAGGTTCAGTGGTAGTTTTTGGATAGTAAATAAAAAAATGTTGTATATGTGCTGCCAACATGGTGAACCCTGGTTCATCACACTACTATAAAGAAAATATGAGTTGGAAAGTTTCTCTACAGTCAAACATTTCACATCAAGCGACTCTTTGTTTACAAATTCTCAATGATTTATGTATGGTAGCACTCGAAGAAGTATTTACTTGTATTCTCTGTGGCTCAAATTAAAAGAGGACTGTAGTGTGCTACCCACAGAATATGACACCAAACGTTAAAAGTAAAATGATGGGAACTTTATGTGCTAATACTGACTGCTGGCTGAAAATTCCCAAGCTAATCACATGCCGCAATTACGTAAGACAGCAAAACAAGTGGTTAGGGAAAACAAAATAATGGCTAAAAATGTTTTGGCATGTTTTCTACTCTTCTTTTGGAGTGAAGGCAGTGCGTAACTGGAGAAGCCACTCCCATCTCTGTAATCTATAGCCAGATTTCTTATCCTGTGCGTACCTTTCATAAACATTACAGACGTCCTACAGACGTCCTGTGGTATAATAACACACCACCACCTCCCCACGTAAAATGAATCTTGTTTGAATAGTACTTAAGCTCCATAATAACCATATGCTACACTGTTTTAATACTGTTCTCAATGAATTGGTTTAAGATACAAAAAATGGATCAGACTTTCTATTAGCCAGGTAAGTTCCCTTTCACTCACAAACAAAATGCTACTTTTTCCCTTCGTACAGCACTAGCTGAACATTGTTATGCACTAAGACATCGACAACAGAAACAAGAAGCTGGAACGGAGGCAAAGAGTGAAGATTCAAGCGTAAAACACTAAAGAATTTGTGTGAAATGTTGTTCAAATATATGTCAGTTATTTTTCTTACTCTTTTTAAACTGTGCATTCGTTTTCGCCTCAACACATTCTATACATATGCGCACCTAAGCCTAACACCCTCTGGTGGTGATACAAAGACTCACATGTCCTACCATAGGAGGAACCAATGACTGTTAGTATCCTTTGTGCATTTCCTTCTGATATTTTCTTCTATATATTAGTTTTAATATAACCGTTCTCACAAGTTTGTTTAAATTCTTTAGTAGTAATTCTATTTTGAGGGTTAAAGTGTAGCAGTGAGGTACACTCACGGTAGAGGGGGTTTGGAAAAGAGGGCTCGGGGTAGGGGGTGGGGAGTGTATAAGGGGCTACTGGATCTGACAGGCAGTAGAGGAGGTGGCTTGGCAGCACATGCAGGTGGGGTTGACTGATTTGGGGGGGATAAGGTCTAGATCTTCATCATCAGGGATTTCATCCAGGCGGTAGCCATCCTTCAGCAGCTGGATGTTCAGGTCTTGGTTGATTTGCTGAAGAGGACAGGAAGGACAACTGATGTTAGTCAATGCAGATCTCATTACTGTTATCTGCAGTGTTCAGCATTTTTGGCACTAGGGTTGACCCCAGCCAAGGGTTTTCTCAGTCAACTAATCACCCCTTGCCAACATCTGGAAAAAAACGTTATAGTAAATGACGTAAAAGTAAATTGTAAATATGTAAATATTGTAAATGTAATATTTGTAAAATGTAAATAATTACCACCACATGCAAATAAAAAGTAAATAGGACAGTATCAGAAAATACTGAATTACAGAACTTGAACCCATTCACATCCCACAGCTACATTTAGGAAAAATGCCAAAGAACATGTCTTTGCTGGTCAAAAGACATGAAATTATGAATAGTTATACTTTGCATGGACATCTCACAGTACAACTTTAAATTGCTTTGACTAAACCTTCTGAGTTAAAGTTATTCCTATCCTTCACAAAAAATTTATATTCTTAATAGCAATACTCCCATCTGATCAAAATATTAAATTCAATATGAAAAATAAAAATAAATATGCTCAGGCAAGCTCAGAAAACCAAACCAAAGTGGACCAAAGTAAACTTAAAATAAATTTTCTGATCTAGACATGATTGGGCTAAAAGGAAGCATTGGTTTAGCTATATCTGTTATCGAAACACATTTTAAAGATGACAAGCTAATTCTGAATGACAACACTTTACACAATTATGTTTAAGTGGTAAACCTACATTACATTTAAAGTTGTTTGCAGAGTTTACACTCCACCTTATTGGTGGAAATCCTCTTTAGAGCCCACAGTGTTGCATAACTGATGTGCATGAACAATTTTGAGTATAACAGAACAATGCTTAAGCTAGAGACTCATTAGATACATGGTCTAAAACTCTATGTGCAGAAATACAATAACATTACAAAGTTTGGAATCACTTGTCAAATAATGTATGTATAAACATAATGTATGTTATTGCACTCAGTAATAACTTATACAGTGTTGATGGAAATACTATGCAAGCTAAATAGAAGAAGCTATTTTAGGATGTTTTATTCAATATTACACGTTTTTGGGAACACCAAGAATTTATAACATGATAAATAATACTCTATCTATTTACAGCAATTTCTTGGTCAGTTTTCTGCCTTGAGATTTGATCACTACTTTTAAAACACTACGCTTTCTCAATTAATTTTAATATAATTTAATTCCTGATGTTCTACAGCTTTCTCAGTTATTTTAGATCAGATTTCTTTATTCTGGACATGCTTAATATTTCTTTTTTTTACAGCTTACTACTAATGATTTGAAAACAATGAAGTTCTAAAGTAGTATAGAATATTACAATCGTTTTGTACATGTATCGTCAAAAAACTGTCTTTGCATGAATGAAAAAAGTGATTCCTAACTTTTGAACACTAGTGTATCTGTTTTAAATGTTTTTACTATAACTCATAAAAATAAATACATAAATAAATCTTGAGAAGAATGCTAGGACTGATTAGCCGACTGATCACCTTGGTAGAGACACGCCTTATCAAAACACAACAAATGATCACTTTTATTTCAGGGATTACTTCATAAAAGAAAACATGTAATGGAGATGGATATAATACTGGGCTGGTTATGGCCAGTAATGTCAAGTTGACACTAAGGATGATTAGATTCGGTGAATGATTTAATGAAGACTAGAAGAATTACATTTAGAAGATGATATTTTTGGCCATATAATGGAAAACAAAAGGAACTCAACTTTAACACAGTATTACAAAGGGTGATGGTGGGCTGTGATGGTGGTGTTGAGGTGATCAGGATCAGGCGTGATGATTAATTCACGTTAGTGTAGTGCATAGATACCTGGTCCCTGAGAGATCTCACCTCGGCTGAGGAGTATCCTGACGAAGAGTATCTGGACATGTCAAAGTCATCGTCACTACAAGAAACACATTACACACCATCAGATACATGAATATGACACATGTCTTTTGTGTTCAGCCTTGTTTCAAATATTCCCTTCATTTCACTTAGCAGGACTGGAAACTGCTCTATCATAGGGCTTGATCATTAACTCATGAGGTAAAATAGGTGTGTTAGAGCAGGAGAAGTCCAAATCTTTGTAGTACTTGGGGTCCCCAGGACTAACATCAACATTAATTTAGCAAGACAGAAGGGCCTTTCAGACACACTGAAATTAAATGGGTGGAAAAAACTCACAACGATCACTTTAAAAGGAATTAACGAGATCACTTTTACTTGTCGAGATATCGACAAGGTTTGCTGACTTCAATGAGAGCAATACTACATGCATTATAGCCATGGAAGAGCAATGAGATGGCATTTTAGTCACGATGATTTATCACGGAAACCAGCAGAGACAATCTGGACCCATCCATCGCCCCTTTTGGTAATTACAGCCCCGTATTAATGAGGATGAGCTCACTAGCAAGCAAGAACTAAATGGGTAAGAACATATCAGACGTCAGAGAGCAGAAGTAGTAGGAGAAGAAAGAAGGGTGTTAAAAAAAGGTATCGTGAGGCATCGATTCAAAGATTTAACAGCATTGGTTTTGATACGTTAGAACTGATTATAATTGATTGAATACTATCCAATAAAGTGTGCAGTCTGTTTATAACCAAAGTGACACTCTAAGGCTATTTTTAAAGATAAATTCCAAAAAAGGTGTGTTTTTTATTGTGTTATATATTTTTTTTTTAAACAGTTGATCCAATCACATTTGTGCATTAGGTGTGATTTTAAAATGTATTCAGACCATATACACTACGTGCATATGCAAAATGATCAAATCAAATTGAATCAAGGAGAAATTCAAGATTTCGTTATGCATTGAATCGTTCCCTAAAGACTCAATCAAATTAAAGTGCAAGGTCACACTGAATCAAATCATTTTGATATTTACATCCCTAGAAGTGTGAAAGAGAGTGACAGCAAGGAAGAGAGAAACAGAAGGAGAGAGAGAAAAAGAAAATGAGATAGAAGAAGAGAAACAGGCAGAAATAAAAAGTTAGTGAGAGACAAAATGACAGAAAAAGACCGTGTGTTACAGAAAGAAACAGAAAAGAGAAATGGAGGGAGTAGGAGTGAAAGAAAGAGTTGGAAAGAGTGAAGTAGAGATGGCGAAAAAGAGATGCATGTGAGAAAACAGATAGAGGGACAAAGTAAGGAATAAGAGCTAAAAATTTTGTAGTCAATATTTAGTCATATATAGTGAGGTGGTTGTGCTCTCATAAGGTTATCTAGCTTATTTTTAGACATTATTTACTTGTTTTAGGTAATTTTATCAAGTAAAATTATTTCACTATACTGGCAGATAATTTAGCTGGTTTCGAACACATTTCTTAACACAATTATCTGCCAATATAGTGAGATAATGTTACTTAATAAAAGTACTTATATCAAGTAAAAATAGTAATAAGGTAATAAATAATCTTAAATTAAGCTCACAACAATCTCAACAGGAGAAATCAGATTTATTGACTATATTTAAGATAATTTTACTTGACAAGATACCATTTTTTTGCAGTGAAAGAAAGAGAACAAAAGAAAGAGAGCAAGAGAGAGAGAAGAGGTAGAGGAAAAAAAAGAAGGAAAGAGTAAGACAGAAAGAGAATAGGTAGTAGACAGAGCGACAGTTACAGAGGGAACAAAGAGAGAAACAGAGGAGTGATCTAACGCATGACCCCATCATGGACTGGCATGGACAGGGATGAGGTCACAGAGCATCTCTGGGCAGCTGAGAGAGAATATTTAGTAGGGACGTCCATCTGTGTGAGGCAGTCACACACACAGCCTGGTCACCTGATGAGACTGGGAACAAGTCAATAACCCTCAACAATCACATACAGGCGTATCTTGCTTTTAGACAGGAGTGTCAGTCCGATCAATGCAAATAAAGCTATGTGAAGCCCTTTAGACTCCCACTGCTAACCACAGCACTTTCTATGGATACGTGTTCTACTGACCATCACAAACTGAGGATGCTTTCATTGATTGAGAAGATCTGGAGGTACAATTGAGGAAGATCTCTGCCATCTTAAACAAATACATCTCAAAACAGAACATCTGGAGACAAACTAGTTGATATAAGAAAAAAAAAAAATTCCCACATTTTGGAAACATTTAAACAGGATTATCAGAGTCTTTAGAAGCTGAAAGTAGTTCAGCAGACAGTAAAGCTGATACATTTGGACAGTACTAATTATATAAACCCCCTAGTGATTAGGCTGTACTTCACACTGCTTTTATGCAGGGAATTTTCTCACGCCAATACGACACACACAGGACTTTGTCATTTTAAGTGTGTAGTCACTGAAAAACACAAAATGTGCATTGAAGGACCTTGAGACTCTTAAAGGGGCATTCCAGCCTAAAACTAGCATTTAATGTGTAATTTATCATGTTATGTAATATTCTGTAGAACCCCTCAGCCTAGTCAGATTGACAGAGTTCACAGTTTTGTATCCTTTTTGCGTTTTTCATTCGTGACCACAACACTCAGCATGCAGGAAATTCACTGATGCATCACTCTTGTAGAGGCAAAGAAATACAGATGTGATATTTGGCTTTGCAGCTGTTACATTAGCTCTCTGGCTTCCTTCTGCACTTGAAATATATATCCCAAAAAAGCCCCTCCCACCTTCAAGAAACATCATCATAAGGGGGTCTTTACACCTGAAAATATCACTTTTGAGACTATTGCTGCACCACCATAGGACGCAAGTAGGCATGTTTACAACAGATGTAGCAACAGTTGGATTTTTCATTTTGGCTGGAGTACCCCTTTTCTTTTTAATTAAACTAGGCAGGAACACATAAACATACAAAACCACTAAGTAATTCAGCAGTACTGAAGAATACTGTACCTGTCTGTATCCAGTGCTACCAGGGGCTTCTCATCAGGGCTCTGGTCTAAGGATGAGTAGCCTTTATTAGGAACAACCAACCTGCAGCAGAAACGACAAGGAAGAGTTAACTCTCTAAACCAACTGCAATAAATGATATGATTAAAGAGGCACCGCAGACAGAAATAAATAAATAAATAAATAAATGGTCATACATTTTTAATAAACATCTGCTTTGCATTCAAACCTTAAAACAAGTCTACTTCATGGCAGAATTTCAGTCTCTGACCTAAAACTACTGGGTACTGATAGTTACATTTAAGAATGGGAGCCCATGAAAAGTGTGGGACAAGGCTAAGTTTAATACCATCAAACCACTGCACGAGCCGCTGCACCAGCAAGGCATCCTCCACTTTCCCCCTGTGGAACAAAGGATTGGGCTAATCTGCGGTCCGCAGGCTCTCTGAGTAGGCCTGTGTCCAGCTAATCTACTGGCCTGTGCTCTGCGCCAGAGTCCTCTCATCTCCTCTAATCCCAGCAGGGGAGTGGCGTACACTCTCCTCTCAGAATTGCCCCTTATTAGCATTCACAGACGTTCTGCTCTCAGACTTCTGCTATCAGTGGATTTGTATGTAGTTTCAGTCCTATAGCTTTGCTGTAAAAAGAAATCCAGGTTTTCTGTGTTACTGTTCACTTGAAAACCTTCATTTAGTATACGGTTCATGTGGCATGATCCAATATTTCTTCTGTCTTAGAAAGGGGCAAATACTATGGAACTCAAAATAGTTTGATGTATAGTATGTGGTAGTGTTAGTATGTAACCATGGTTAACATTTTAAAACTATTCAGCCTCCAGTCTATACTGTCTATATATGGAAACAGCCCATTTTGATCCCACTGTTTTTGTGATACGTGCACATTCGCATCTATCCACATATTCAACCCACAGTAGTTTAGCGCCACCACTTCACACTGAAGGTATAAGGAGTGTTTCAGCCTGGACGTTTTGAATAAGGTACAATACAGGGCTGACAATCAGCAGAGGTCATTTGGATAAATCAGTCTTAAAGGCACAGGAACAAAACAGTGTTTAATTTAAGTGAGGTTGGGAAATGGTCATATAAAAATAAATTATGCCTGTTTATGGTACATAAACCATACACAACATACCATAGCATATACCAGAGGAGTCAAACTCAACCACTAAAAGGGCCATAGTAAAAAATCTCAGCAAATCCGTGGGCCAGCTGTGTTTATTTCATTTTTGCCATGATTTGAACGGGCCATTGTTTATTCAAAATATGCCAAAACTGATAGGCTTGAAGATTGAATACTTATTCAAAAATATTTCTAAATAAACATAAACTGTTTTAGCTAGTTTTTTTTAAAACTACTTGTTTGCTTGAACTAGGCATCTTCTTTTTTTGCATAACCGCTGGCCCATAGATTGTCTGTGGGGGAAGGGGGTCAGAATGCACATTATGCCACAATGCATGCTGGGGACTGTAGTGCAACTCAGTGTCAAATGGGCTAATAAGAATAGAAAATTAAAATAATTACGTGGGCCGAATAGGACTGTGTCACGGGACTGACTGGGCCCGCGGGCCTTATGTTTGACACATGGGCCATGTACCATGAGGAGATGTCCAGAAAAAATCAATAGTGGAACCCTAATAATTAGTTTTAACAAAAACCTATGTTCTCTTCAGAATGAATCTGTAGCATAAGCAGTCTGGTTTACTCACCGTGTTCTGGCCATTACATTGTTTTTCTTAGGCTGCTGATTGACCGGGCTGCCCACCGTTCCGTTCTTTGCTGAGCCTTTCCTGGCCAACTCTCTCTGTTTTTCTGCAATCACAGAGGAAAAAACACATCACACTCTACATCCTGAAGGAAATGACTTTTTACCAGTGATAAACAAAGGACACAACACCACCGAAAACAATATCTATAATAATAATAATGATGATGATGACGATGAATACAGAATACAATTAGACCAAGTATGTCTAATCTGAAAATATGAAAATTGATTACACTATCATGATTTTCATGAATCTGCTCCTTTAGCATTAAAACCAGTAGACACTATACATGCCACACTTGAAGTTGACCAGCTCTGTCTTTATCAATACCATCATGCATTTTAATTGCATTAGGTTATTTTAAGGTGTATGGAAAAGTTTCATTTAGTCTACAGCTTACTGAAAAATCTGTGTGGTCTATTTGAACAGTAATTCCTCTTTCACTTGCGCTGTTATTTAGCAAATCCAAATAGCATCAAAGACAATGCTTTACAGAAATGGTTCGTCAAAAAATCAAAAGTACACATTTTTTTTTACACTTACTATAGATGTAGTTGATCAGCCAGACATGATTAGTGTCCACAGTTTGCTTTTTTTTTTTAGTTTAGCGCTGGAGCTACAAGGCTGACATCACTATCAAACACTAGAAATAAATAGTCAAACATCTTCTATGTAAATACATCCCCAAAACTTCCCCACTCACGGTTGAGCAGACTTGTTGACGTGGTTTAGGAGGAATAAGACTTATGGTGAACTACAAAACTGAATAAAACTTCACTGTGTATCTGAACACAGCGGGCAGCAACTTCAGACAACAGGTATAGTGCAGAATTCTGATTCCACTTTGCATGCACAGTACATTCACGATTTACTGTTTCTTATTAGAAATAACTGTTAATCTTGAACCTGTCCAGGGTGTTTCCTGCCTTCCACCCAATGACTGCTGGGATAGGCTCCAGCTCCCCCTGCGACCCAGAAGGATAAGCGGCTTAGAAAATGTGTGTGTGTGTGTGTGTGTGTGTGTGTGTGTGTGTTAATCTTGAATTTTCTACCTGAAGATACATGTTTATAAATAGAAAAACCAGAAATCACAACTTCATATGCCTGTATGAGGGGCGTGAACATGAAGGGGAGTCAGATTCTGCAGGGCAATCAGAAATCAGCACAATACCTGCTGTCTAAAATGGCTGATCTCAGCTGCACAGTGAAGTTTTGTTAAGTTTTATAGTTCACAGTAAGTCATGCTGTGTCAACAAGTCTGTGCATCCTTAGCTAAGAGCTGGATGTGGTTTGAGCAGTTCGAGAGAAGTTTTGGGGATGTATTTACAGGAAAGATTTGGGTGACTATTGACTTCTTGTGTTTGTTAGCAATGTCAGACCCGTATTTCCAGCGCTAAACTAAAAAGCAAAAACTGGGTACCAAACATGTCTCAACTGATCAGGTTAAGTGTAAAACTGAATAAATTAAATTTTTTGCCAAACCAGAGATCATGTCTCATTTTACATTATTAATAATAAACTGTTTTAATGATTATGTTTGCTTATAACTGTTGATTATTGTTCTGGATGACACTACTGTGAGTTTGAAGCCTCATTCTCAGCAGGGACTTCCTATGCAATAAAACTAAATGAGTCTTGTGCTTGACTTGTGTGACTTTCAAATGAGGGCTCCTGTGCACTTGTTATTCCTCTGCAGTCCGGTAAGTAATCACCAACTGCCACTCGACAATTGCAATACCAAGTTTAATTAACAAGCAGTGGCTGTATTTCACCTGGAGGTCTCCATGCTGTAGCCTAGGAGGAGACGACAGACACAAAGCAACACGAGAGAGCGCGGCTGAGCAGTTAATTAATGGTGAAAGACCCCAATAAAGCTATTTCACTCGGTAGCAGCAGCAGCAGTACTTTTCAACTAAGTGTGTTAACAAATCTGAAGAATTTTCTTTCACTTAAATGTTGATGTTGAATCGTTTCTGGGAGCAAAAGTAAATCATAAGAGTTAATACAGTCTGACAAATCAAATATGATGTGCACTGTGGCTGCATAATGGTCTGGTTCTCAATCACCATGGGGACCTCATGCATTACGCGTATTTGTGTTTTCCAGCTCTTTCCTCCACCATGCCTGATCTAGCTTATGAAAGTTCTGATAATTACCTGATGAGCAGAGCTGCAATTATGTGCAATTAATGGTGTGCAGGAAGTGAATCATTTGTTTTTATGCCCATTTAAAACACGGTGATAAAGTGTTTGCCAGGCTGTGTACTTTACTCTAGCAAGCTGATAGCACAATAGGCTGGCCACAATAGGATTGGCTATCAGCATGTCCGCATATACAAATTTCTCGGCACCAGTTTTAATCTGTCCGATGGGAAACACTGTTCTGCAAACACTTGCCCAAACTGCTCGCTGTGCCAAGCCTTGTGGAGCAAGACTTCTTCACTAGACTGACAACTTGAAAAATGTGTACAGTTCACAGCGTCACATCTTCAAAAGTTATTAGTTTTCTTTGAGTCTTTTAAAAGCTTGTAAGCAAGATATTCCAGCATGTTTGCTGGTTCATACCACTTTTTTTTGCAGGTTTGATTTTGTTGTAGTCTCTTTTCTGCCCCTACACTTCGAACAAAAACAACAGTCTGTTATTGGTTATTATGCACATCAATCAAACGGCCCTGTCCTGCTGAAGTATGTGTTTCTTCAGCACATTAAGTGAAAAAATGCACCAGACTCTCTGATGTAGGCCCGTGCCAGAAACTGATTCTTTTTATTTAGGTTATTTTTATTTCCACAAAGCGGTAATTTTACACTGAACCGCATGCAGGAACTAACACACTGACAGTGTATGAGCTGAATTATAATCTTTGCCAAATAAAAGAATATAATGATAGCACAGTTTAGTAAACACTGTTTTGAAGTATTGTGGTCAACATTAGAGGCGAGTCCCAGTGAACATCAAGACCTGGACACATTGAATCACCGATCAAGACTTTAGTAGTAGAAGCCAGGAGCGACAGGATCGAGACCAGACAGAGACCCGATAAAGATTTCTTCAGAATACAAAAATAAAAATATTTTTAAATGTATTTTCAATACATAATATTAAATAATATATTATTCATATTATTAATTATTAATTATTAATTAAAATATTATTAATTATTGTTGCCGTCAGAAGATGTCAAATAATACCCAAGTCATCATGGAAAGGATCAATTTGATCCTCAAACACATTTATTTAGAGAAAGGACCGTTTTATTTTGTTTCAAGGTATTGTTGATATTTAATAATGAAAAACCAAACAAGTTCTGAGTCTACCTTCCCCCCTAGACTATGTCAAAATGATTTCAAGACAGAGACATCATCTCTCGAGACCGAAACTAGACTTGAGTTCTACAACACTAGGTTGAAATGTATTATCATCTTTAACCGAGCAACAAAACTGTAAGTGACCTATCCATGTCCACCCATAAATGCATTCTACTGTAACATCTGTTGTGAGGCTAAACAAGCTCTACAGAATGTTGACAAAAACTCCATTCAACCTAATGAGTTCAGAATCAGAGTTGCCGCAAACCAATTTACTACCATTCTAATGTTTTTCTAATTTTCTACTGAGCCAATCTAACAGTGTGACCTTTTACACATGTCCACATTAAATTTAATTTGAGATTAATAATGTGCTCTGAATGTCCATATTTTGGCAAAAAGGGACTGTTGTGCATGACCGTTCCTTGTTAAGCTGAATAGGATTTTGCCAACATTCTTTAAAGCTTGAACAACCTAGCAACATTTGCTACAAAAGAAAGCATGGATAGGTCAATTGGTCTTTTCTTGTCCCACACATTGTGTGTGTGCAAATGAACTGATAGCTTTGTGCTGAGTTGACAAAAGGCCAAGCTGTACACCGCGTCCAGAGCACACTGACCTGTGCAACTCTACAGATCAGCGGCTGCATGACTGAAAACTCACCAATCTTGACTTGCAGTGGTGAAGGCTTGTAGTTGATAGCCACAGACTCTGCCTCCCTTGTGTCTGAGTCAGCCTCTGATGTGGATGTTGCTGCTGGGTCCTTGAGACAGACAGACACACACACACAAATGCACAACTAATCAATCCACAGAACAAACAACAATACATTCCCAAAGGTACAGCAGAGCAGAAATAGAATATGAAGCAAAAATAGAAATCAATAACACCTATTTCTTCCTGATCAGAGTAATAGATGGTGCTTATCTATTTCATCCTGACTTCCCATGATACACAGGTCTATGAACAGATCTTAGCTGGGGGAAAAACTGATAGAGAGAAACAGCAGCAGAAATGCTATGCATAAACAATAAGCTCTGTTGAGGCAGAGCCTCTGGAGAGTGTCTAGACAGGCTGAGCGTGGTGATTAAGGTGGTGCTGGTTCCATTCCCCTCAAACAGCATGACTCAGCAGAACCCCAAAAGCTTTAGCAGGAATGGCACATCTGAATCTTTCTCTCAGATCCTGTCAGATTTAAGCAGCTGTGTCTTATATGCTCGGTGACTTCACCCTGAGAGAGATGCGGACGGCTAGCACCCCGAACATTTCAATGCAGCCCTCTGCCACAAAGAGCATATTTGAGTCCTCCAGCTTTTGGGTTTGTTTTCGGTTTGATAAAAGATTCATGCATCTCCATAGCCTCTGGTTATTTTTTCAGGCTCTACCACGATTATTTGTCGACAGCGTCCTGAAATCTGTTTGAAAACCGCTTATTTTCTTGGATTTTTTAAAAAGGTATTTGTTTGTGCTTTCGTTTAGCCTCAAATGTAGATAAAGATAATGCAGGCCTGCTTACGTTACGTTTACCACACAGTGGCTGTGCCACATCATGATGCTTCATCATAAACTATAATACCAAAACTAAATAAATTTACAAATCATGCCTCAACTTTTAAGTAGCCTACATTATGTGCTGTTATTTATCTTGTTAACTCCAAAGTCATTCCAAAGCACAGATCAAAACTAGGCCTGTCACAGTTACTTGAGATAATCACAATTATTTGGGATAATCACAGTTATTTAATCTGATCGCAATTATTTTCCAGTCATTAGATCATATTTTATCACAACAAGCATAATGTGAGCAAATGTGTTTTTATTAGCTGACCTGAGTCAAATAAATGTAAGTAAATCACTTCTTTCTTCTGACTTTTTTTTTTTTTAACAACTTAAAGTTTTAACTTTTAAGTGTGTGCTACACCATATTTACGGTATTTATGGGGCATATCTGTTAGCTAATTTGATAGCTAGTATAGTTACTGCTAATTTTAGCATATATATTTGCATAAAAGGTGTTTTTCACTCACATTTTCACAGTCTTGAGAAAAATGTAAGCTTTGGTAGGCACTATAAGACACAGTTAGGCATAGTACAGTGCAGTGTATCATCTCTTATAAGCTGCAGAGTAAAAAGCTAGCTGAACAAGACAGCTAATAAGCCAAGTTTAGCTGCTTTACACTTGTACTTTATTAGTTACATAAAATAAAGAACAGCGACAATTAAATTGTCAAGATAGGTTGTGCAGATGGGTTTTTACTAAACTTGATGGCCTTGCATAAATATGATGTTTAACCTGCTATTTGCTAACTCACTGTTGTTTAATGTACTCAAAAGTTTACTGTGTCAACTTTGCACCTTGCTAATCTGCTATTAAGGTTTGTTGATTCATATTATTAATCAGCTGGATGTCATTTTAGAGTTAAATTGGTTAGCTATGTTAGATGGGAAGGAATTCACAGTTAAAAAGGCTAAGAAGGGTTCTTGATGTCAGATGGGTGTCTTCATTATTTGCAACAGTTAATTTACTAGTTTAAAAGCTTCATCTTTACATATAATCAGCTGGTGTGCTAACAGGACTAACTTACTCGGGTCCTCATGGAATCTAGGGCCTGCTCTCCCCTACCTACAGTTTTTACCTTTCATACATAATGTGAAGAACTTGCAAAATGTTTCTGGGTGCTTTGTGGTATCCAATACAATACTGGCCTGAAAAGAAGTTAAACAATTTTCTCAAGGTACCCAAAGGCCTTTCCTTGCTTTCACCACTTGCATTTAACCCCGACTTTTAAATTGGAGTAAACCTGGTATTTCACAAATCTCTTGTTTATTCTCAGAGGGTGTAATGATGTACTTGTTTGAGATCTCTGAAAATGACAAGTTATCAAAGACTGACTTCTTCAGATATCTTCAAATTAGACACTTCATTAAACCTCGGTTGAACACTGGAATGTTGTGATTGGACATGACGGACTGAATGGTTTCTGACTAAGCATCATTACTTAAAAGCTTTGATTTCAAAGGTTTATGCCCTGTTATCTGATGCATGCTTAGAGGGCAAGTCTTAAACACATCTGGGAAAGAGATCTGGAGGAGGCTATTGATCAGGATGCTTAGCTCTCTATCTGTTCAAATCTATACCCTAAAGGCAATTAATATACACAAACTTACCTATAAGCCTACTAATGCATTTTATCTGACACCACTGGGCTTACATAGGATATTTCCAGAAAGACCTGACCTATGTTTCAAGGGCTGATTACACAAGGGCACTTTTATTCACTTTTATTTTATTGCATTTTGGGAAGTGGTGCATTTACCTATTCAAGAAATTTTTAATACACACTTTACAATGTGCACTAAATTATATTTGCTCTATGGCCAATTAGAAATTATATGACTACAATGCCAGACAGATATTTATTCTGCTGGTTTTTATTGCAAAAAGTTTGGCAAATATGGTTTTCTCTCTGGAATTATATTGATAATTCATCTTAACTTTTTTATTGTACTTATTGTTTCTTTTCTCCCTCAAGTTTTGGATGTCTACAAATATCTACTGAGCGCTCTGTTTTTGTCCGTTATACTTTATGGCTGTATAATCATTTCTAGGTTTACCTACTCATATGGCCCCTCCACATCTCCTTATTTGGGAGTAAGTGTATCTGCAGATGTGCCTGTGACTGTTACCTGAAAAGTGTCTTAATAAAAACAATTGAAAAAAAAAAAGCTTTCATCTTTGTCAGATCATATACTGAAGTAATTCGGATACCAAAACTTACAAAAAAGAACACTAAAAACAGCAGCAAGACTAATTTAAGCCATTAAGACAAAATCAGAAAAAAATAGGGCTCTCCCACCTCTGAAGTCTCTATTTAATCCTTGGTATGGGGGGAGATTACGATGTGGCTGGGCTAGTAACATTAGCTGAGGTGAAAACAGATGATTAACACTTTTCTGTTTATCTTGAGGACTTCAGAATTACTGCCTTTCTCAAGCCATGTCACCTACAGCCAATTCTAAACAATATATTTTGCAGTAAGAGCAAAATGCTGAGTGTGCTGCACAGAAAAATTAAGCGGTGCTGAAAGTCATCAAGCGGTGACACACGTCTATGCCGGCTATTGGCAGCACTGTGTGAGCTTTCAACAACGAGCTTTCAAAAACAATGGTTTTAATTTTTCCAATGCTGCACGATGCAGCACGGTGCATCCAGTGTGCCGTAGCCTTAAGGCTGCACTTCTAATACTTTTATTAGCTAATATTTGGGGGTGCACAATGATATCAGAATCACAACAGTATTGGCAGACAGTTGCTTAAAAATTATTATCAGCATCAAACAGATGTTAAAATTTGACTAACGTTTCAAAACAATAGTTTATGAAGTATTTATTGTATTAGTGTGTACTAAAATATCTGCATTCCAGTGTCCTGTAACTAGGCAAAAATATCCAACTGTGATTTTTTTTTGTACCAATACTGTGAGTGCGGTTTAAATTGCAATCATTTCCTGTAAACTGAGATCCAGGCCTATTTTTATTGGCCAAGAAGACCAGCCCATCCACTTTTTCTGACTTGAGACTGGAAAGTGGCAACCTGCCAGAGAGTTGTGGTAGTCATGTGCACTGTTGTTTGGTTGCTTGTCACTCACAAACTCTCCAGGCAGTTCACAAAAGTGTTATTAGGTTAGATTTCCCCACTTCGTAAGACCACATTGTTGATAATGTGGGCTATAATAATAATTGCAGCTCTTGTGCTTTGGAAATTATACTCATTCAAATTGCAATTGCAATATAAAGATGATTAAAATGATGTCAGACTCAGGAAAACTTACTTCACATGTACTTATTAAAAGAAGGGCAAGAGGAAGACGTCGTGTTCTGAGACACACAAACTAAACACCCGTCCCACCGCTGTCTTTTAATGTTCAAAGCATGAACTTCGTCTCCTCTGTAGACCAGTTTCTGCTCCCGCCATGTTGAACATTATAAACTTCGCTATGACACGACGCACATGTGCAGGGCATACTTGAACTTTCCGACTGGGAATGTAATCAGATAAAGGCGTTAACGTGGCCTTTATTCTTCTATTTAACAGATTTACAGGTTTCACCCACCTCGTTCAATCGTATATAATTTTATTCCAAATGGCCGCAATCGGACTAGTCTAGTGTGACTAAGGTATATACGTGGACACATTTTATTCCGATTGAGCTATTAGTAGGATTATTAACAGATTATCAGGCTGCATGTAAATGTGGCTATTGGATAAAAAGCCCCTCAAGGCAGGCAAAAGCTTCACTTAAGTTTACTTAAAAAAAAGAGCATGTTTATCAGAGAGACAGTGAATATGATCCTCAGTGTCTGCCTCATCATCAACCCAGTGTCCTTGAATGCTGATATAATCTATGAATCAGATAAAGGGCCCAGTCTGATAAACAGACCTAGGAGACTCCACAGTTTTGTGCAAAGCTTTTTAAACTGTTTTTCCTCAACTCATGTGAAGTTCTATTAGCACATGAGTATTCACAGCTGATGCCATCCTTCCCTTTCCTTTTTTTAGAGATGCCCCTTTCCCAGATTGCTCAGTGCTCAGCAAAGAAAGAGGAAAAGAGGAAGTTTCTACATGCCATAGCAACCACCTAGTATTTCCTACATGGACAGCATGCCAGTTCTCTGCTCAGTTTGTAAGGTTTAGGCCCTGTGTGACATCACTAGGGACTGGGACGAGAACAGAGGGAGTCTGTTGGAGGGAGAGCAAGAGTGA